GAAAAATCGAAAAATACTATTAATTAATGCAGGAAATTTTTCAAAATAAATCTTCCAGGTCGATTTAAATTTTAAAAATATTAATATTATTTTCTTATGCTTTAAAAAAATTTAAATTTTTAGTCTAATTTTACTGCATCAAAGTTTCATTCATTATTATTATTATTATATTCAAAACTAAACAAAAACAAGGAAAGTATACAAACAATTTTCTTGTACGACCTGAAAAAGGAGGAAGAGTGCAAGGAAGAATAAAACCATTATATGATCTACGAGAGCAGGAAAACCACCAACCTTTGTAATATAAAAGTGATTCAACATGGGGGATGCTGGGCTATTAGGCTGCAACAGATTCACTTTGGTACGAACCGCCGGCCGCCGAGGAATCTCGTGGCTATAAATTAAATGATGCTGAGAAAAGGTCATTTCGGTGAGCTCGCGGTGGCTTTGAGGCGAGCCAGCCCGCGTATATTATAATAAAGAGTCGCGTCATTAGGGCTCTCTCTCGTGAGATGCACCCAACCTATGTAATTTCGGCAGGCTCTCGAAAGAAACACTCATAGACGGCTTGCAGGAAATGCGCCGCCAAATCAATAAAACACAACAGTATAATCTGCATAATAAGCTGAGACGTGTTTTGAGAAACCTCACGTTTCCGCGCCTCAACCGCACAGATGTAATTTTCGCCGGCGAAATTTGTGGCTGTGTGAGAGAAAATTAAGGAGCTTTCATCTTTTTGGTGATGCGGGTGAGAGAATTTATTTATATTATGCCAGAGAGGATCGCGCGGTAGTTATAAATTTATTTCGTGTTTGTATGGCTCGTTTTTTTAATTTCAGGAAGGCCGCTCAAAAGTAGGCTGACAGTTATTTTCTGGCAAATAGAACCGAATAAATTCGATGGAAATTTCATCGGCATCCAGCAGCTAATAACGGCTCAGTCAGAGGTTGCGAGAGAGTAATTAATATATAAAACAGACAGACGCGATTAACAAAAATTTAAATTTAGCATCTTTAAAAATAACCTTTTTTTACAAATAAATTTTTTTTTAAAGTTTTTTTACTTATTTTTTTTTAAATAATTTATTTTTTTTTAAATTTATTTTTTGTAAATGGTTAATTGTAAATTAATAATTAGACAAATAAAATGATTGATTTAATTTGTGTATGTATAAATTTGCTGGTAAATTATCTTTTGTAATTAATACCCTTAACACACAGTATTACGCTTGACCAGTGTTTCTTTGTTGATTAATCCTGAATTGGAAGTTATAAAGTTTAGAATTACGAAAATATACTTAGGGATTCATTATAGAAATAAACATATCCCCCCCAAGATTCATGGTTAATAAAGTTTATCTCATAAAAACTTGCCCTTTTTGATTAAAAAAATTGTATATTTCTAAATTGTAAGGAAGTGAGAGTAATTCATTTGCTAATAAATCTCTAGTTTCAATAACAAAAAGTCAAAATGGCTAAAATAGTCGGTTTTTATTCAACTTTCCAACTATAGCCCCTTTCTTATTTTTACCAGTTTTGAGAGTTAGCTTGTCTAAAACATGCACCGTATTCCAAGAGTGATTAAAACTGATAAGAATTTATCAGAAAAAAATTGCCCATGCTGATGATTCTAAAAGTGGGGTTTGAAGATTTTTTTGAAAAGTCAAAAGACAAAAATAGCCAGGCGATTTTGTACTTATTAATTATGTTAAATTTAATATGATGGTTCACTCGGCACTTTGTGAATAAAATTGCTACATTTAAACTCGTCGTGCGGAAAACGATACTGTTTTTAACAAATCGTCTCGATTTCCACGCGGCTGGCTCTGGGCACAAATTTGCAACTAAATAACAAGTTGTTCGTTCTCTTGATTCACAGAGCACAGGACAGAGTATAATTTCCACCGAGCTCAATCATTGTGTTACTCGAACCCAGTCGTAACACAAACCCTTTTTACTTATATGTGGCTAAATATAAATATACTTTTCCTCTGACGCGAGACGTGTGTGTACTTAGCGTACGTCTGAATGTAAAGAGATCGCGCTTGATCAAACTTTAAACTGAGAGCTCGAAAAGTTGGCCCTCGGCGATTCCAGCCAGTCTTTAACAGTTGTCGCCGCGCACCCAGCCAGCATTTGGCACGCTGCGCCTCTCTCGCGTTCACTGCGAGGCAAAAACACCGCGCCCAACTCGCGTAACCTCTTGAGAGATTCGCACGCGGTGACGTGAGTGGGCGTTTGTTTGCCAACTGGAAGCTCAAATCGTATAACAACGGACATAAAAAAAATCGGTCTTACATTGATCTTGGACAAATTTTTTCATTCCTCATTAATTTTACTTCAATGTGTCAGGCATATTTCAATCTTGGAGAAGTCAGAAATTTCGGGGGCTGATAATTTGAAAATGGTTTTTGTTAAATTTTTGACATTGCTTTGTTATTATTTTTTATTTTACAGTTCGAAATATTTTTGCTTTAAAATAATTTGGCATTTAAAGTTAGTGAAAATAGTATAACAATATTTAAATTTTATTAAATTTGGAAATAGATAAAAACAATTTAAATTAAATAGAAGTTAATTTGTTTTCAAGCGAGTTTTCAATTTGAATAAAACCATTTATATAATAGATAATTGAAATGAGTATTAAAATTAACCTCAGCATTCAAGATTTAGGCTCTGGGTGTTTGAGGATGATCCTTATTCACTTACTTTTTTAATTGGCAGCTGGCTCATGATCGAATGCCTCGACAAGCTATGTCATTCACGGCGGACACAAAACGCTTGTCAAGGTTGGTTTTGCACGACACATTTTTCCCGTGCAGATGTTTTGCTTTGGCTTTTCGAGATGCTCTCTTTCGCAGCAGCTCCTCCCCAAAAAGAGAGAGACCTTATTTTTATACTCCTGCTTGAATATACGCCGGAGAGCACATAAAATTTATGTACCAATCTCACTTTACACGAACCCTTTTGCTCTGAAAATAATATCCGCCGCGGCAAATTTTCGAGCCGTCTTAATTTTCACACGCGGGACTCCTGATAAAAAATAAATAAAATAAAAAATAAATAAAATATAAGCAGGACGTAGAAAGAAAGGAAGATGTAATTTCGTTTTGTATTATTTTCCTATCACATGCGTTGTCATATTTTCTAATTAGGGCCTGCCTTCTCTGTTAATGAGTATCATTCTCTCATTCTTCTCCGGCGCATTAGTTTCATAATTGGAAGGCAGATCCTCCATGGTTAGAATATAAAAACTATTAACTTCATCACGCATTTTATTTTTAGACAATAATATTTTAGCCATTCTTAGAGAGTCTTGTAAATTATCGCAGAGTGATGATTTTTACGCTTTTTCCGCTTTTTCGGCTTCCTCCATAATTCATCGAAAAACCGTGTGGTCATTTTTTCCACAAAGGTTTGTTCCATCGTAAATTTGCCACGCGTAGCCCAAAGGCCCCTCCAAAAGCATCAATCTTTGCGGCTGCGTGACAAGCGAACAATTAAAATTCCACTCGAATTTCGGCCTCAAAGAGACGAGGAGGCGTAAAATTTTAATTTCCTTGACATTGAAACGGTGATCTGTCCACGGAGTGAAATAAATCACCGACACACTAATACAGAGGAAAGCAATAAATTCTTTAATACCTTCCTGGCGGTGCTCTGTTTGTTGACACGCAAGCCAATAAAAACCAAAAATATATTAAAAAAGGCATTCGATCTGAAATGGAATTATTGCTTCTCCATTGTTTCGCGAGCGGACATATCTCACGAATGCATTATTTATTTGTTCATTGCCAGATGACGCAACGCCTAATCAGTCGTGACTCTCATTATTTTAATTTCCACGTCACGCCGCTGCCACCGAGTCTGATTTGCGCAGCGTTTTTTTAAACCAAAAAGTTTTCCTTGAGACCTTGCCGTCGGTTCTTCCTCTTTTGTTTGGACTGCACTGCTGAAGCCGCAGGGCCACTCGGAGAAAAAAGAACATCTGTGATAGTTGAGGAGGAAAGGCGCTGGTGCCAAAATGGTGCTTGCTATTTTCGTGCCAAGTTCCTATAGAAGAGCAATTACGTCCAGATCTAACGGGCCTTTATTGCGCTTCAATTGTTCACGACTGTCTTTTTGTATTGCAATCTTTATCTGAACTAATATTTTTACTTACTTTTCTTTTACGATTGAACTAATTTTCATTGCAACAACATTTAAAATTAAAATTGAGATTCTATTTAATTTGCTTATCATATTTTTATTAAAATCTTTAATTTTTAAAGTCTAAACAAAAAAATTGTAAATTAATATTACTGTCATATTTCAACTTTTTTTGTTAAATTTATCGCACTCTCATAAATGAAAATAAAGATTCTTTTACGAGTTTTTGTATTGTTTCGTAAAATAATAAAAAAAATTGGTCAGGACAGTGCAATAATTTGTTAAAAGTTTAGCTTAAAAAATGATCAATAAATTTAAATTATTAATGTAAATAATCAATACCCCTTTGCTTATCAGATTTTCTTATGGACCAAAACATGCATGGTCATATTATTTTAAATACATTATCAACAATTTTGAGAGAGTTAATTTAATAATGAAAACTCTAGATCGCAGAAAAAAACGCTTGGAAATATCTTAACAGATTAATCGATTGGCTATTTTCCACCATCTTTGCAAGCATTGAACTCTCCTCTTGGTGCGTCCAACAACCCGCTCTTCCCGGCAGCAAAACGGTCCCTGCGAGCGAATTCCATATCAATTTGCCGAGATAATTGCTATCGGCCGAAAGCAAGAAAACAAAATTGGTATGCGGCTGCCGGGGTTTAGAAAATTACACCTGTAGATTTTGATGAAATAATTTGCTCCTGATCGAGTGAAGAGTGAGGTGACAGAGAGCAATTGCGCGCGAAATTGATTTTTCGTTCGAGGAAGGGTCGTTAATTTTTATGAACGGCAATTTTTCATCGAGTTTTTTGCAAGTCTGAACGTTCTGCTTTGTTGATGTTGCAGTCTGGGTGTTCTCCGCTGCAAAGGGCAGCCGCCGAGGGCCACCTGGAGGTTGTGCGACAACTGCTGAGGCACGGAGCCGACGTCAACCATCAAGACTCGACGGTGAGTTCTTTTATATGCATGAATGTATCTTTCTCTCTCTTTATGGTTACATTTTTTTCTTGCTTCAGGAGATTAGTTTCTCAAGATTAACATTGTTTAAGGTTTGGATTCGCAAGCAAGTCTCGCATGTAAATAGAATTTATATACATTTTGCGGTTATTTTATTCCAAAGCCGGCAGAAAAGCATGCAGCTTTCTTCTCTTTAATAGAGTGGCTTTTTGCATTGCACGCTGAGAGTCGTAAATCAGAATGATCTCCAACTAAAAACGCGCTTTAGGGACTCAAGCAAGTTAAAATTCCACATTCCTAAAAGGATAACTGCTGATAGTTGAGCTTTTTGAGGCACTATAGACATTTCTTTTGCAATCCATACAAATTTTTCACAAAAATGGGCAGCGCAAATACAAAGTGATACAAAGTAAGAGGAAAGTAAAATTTTTTTATTAAAAAAAAGGAGTTTTGGTGGGTTAGGTTAACTTAAAAAAATTTATGGAATAATAATAATAATAATTAATAATAATAATAAATAGATTATTATTCTTTTAAATGTTACTTATCACAAAATTTAATTTGTGAAAAGAATATTGTTTAATAACTTTTAAAGCTATTATATCATTATGTTCATTTTAAATCACATTAAATTACTGTTTCCCATTACCTTTTTTAATGCAGTTTGTAGATCTACAAACTTTTCAATTATTCTCATATCCTACTTAAGAAAAAAACTGAAACAGAAACAATTCGTGACGACTCCTACGGTGAGAGTAATTTAGAGCGATAATTATTAATTTCTCTCTCACTTCAGCGTGCAATGTGAAATTGCTCAATTCCCATCAGTCTGTCCGTCGTGCAGAGTAATGTCCCTCGTCCAAAGAGCAGTTTTACACGCTCGATTATTTTTACTCTGAATGCAGCCGCAAATTGAGTTCCGTGTATAAAGGAGTGCCTCCGCCAACTGCACTTTTGTGTCTAAATGCACCTCTTCTGGCGGCGGCGTCTCTCCGCAGCTTTTTTCTTATTATTTTATTTTGTCACGCGCAGCGGCGTCGGAAAGTAAATTGTGTAAAATGCGCGTCACGACGTCCATTGTCCAAACAGCGCAGAGATGCGATGGCCCTCGATATTATAGCTTTTCCCAAACTCTTATCGCTTTTCGAAAAAGAGCCACAGAGGACAACACACTCCAATGAATGATACATAAAATATGCTGCTTTTATATCCGAGCTCGCATCGCGGGGCCCACTTTGTGTGTGGGCAGATGAGTGATGGTCCCTTTCTTATTTATATCTCCACGCGTCATAAAACACGCAAACGAAAGAGCAGCGTTTCCTAATTCAGAAAGGACACATACTGCACGTCATTAAAGAATAAAAAGCAGCTACGATCGGGGCTAATCTTGAAAAAAAAAACCGTACGTCCCATTTTCATCCATTAGCATTAAATAACCATCTTTCATGAGGTAAAAAAATGGTTTACGACTAGATGTGTGTGATAAATTTTTGAATGAATAAATAAATTCCTTATTCTACTTTTTCTCACAAAAATATACTGATTATCTTATAATGCAGTTTTGGTGGTTGAATTAAAAATAATAAAAGGATACTCTCATATTTCATCGCTTTTTTCCAAGAATATTTTTGCAATCTATATACAAACGTTAAAATCTTTAAGCTTAAAAAAGTCTGCTATACGTGACAGAAAATTTATAAAAATCCATGAAAACATTACACAGAAGTATATTGCTGACCATTTTATATTAATTTTGAGACCAAATCTATAGAAAATAGAATTTTTCGTCAGTAATTAATTCTCGTTTCAAAACTTTTTAAATTCGCTCTATTTGAATTAATTACACAGTCTCAAGTAGAAACTCTTGAAATTTGTTTTAATTAATTTGGAATTGTCAAAGAGATTCTTTGCTCCATTTAGCCACATTGTTTGTCATTCTTCCATAGAAACCAGCGAAAAGTATAATGTAAACTTTTTATTTTGAATGAGAATCTCTGAATCAAGAGCTCTCCGTCTTTGTAATGCATATTAGTGAAAGCTGGTTCTCCGTGGCGTACGCGCTGCACAATTACACGATCGTCTCAGCAGGATGCGCAAGGAGCACCATTATTTCTTTAACTCGTATATAACAAACAAAATATATTACTACCCTGTGTTCAAAGTGTAAGGATGTGAATTTCTCTCTGCGTGGAGAAAACACGCAAGCGCATAAGAAAAATTGAAGTGTGATTTCGAAGGCGTCACTTCCAGATTATTTTTTTATTCAAGTGCATTGTAGCGCTTTATTTATAGACCCCTTTGTACCAAGATGAAGTTGAGTTATATCATCCTGCTCCTCTAAACACATCTGCATAATATCGCACGCGGATCACCAACACCTCAAATCCAACACACGCCTTTTTCGCGCACTGATCTTTTTTGTAGTGGAAACTGAGCTGTATTATATCCCTTCTGGATTCCTTCCAGTCACTGTTCTTGGAATAAATTATAGGGCCGTTTCGCACGAAAATACAACAATAGATTTTATCTGCCGACTTCTAGCAGATCTTTTCTGCCGAGCGCTAATATCAATTTACTTTTTATTTTGTTTTTAAATTAGAAAAGATATGCAACACAAAAAGAATAAAAAACTTTATTTATATACAGCCTGAGGAAATTGGCAGCAAAATTTATTCAGACGAATTTAGATTGGATTTATTTTAAATTAAAAATAGCTTTTGTTTAAATTTTTGTTCCTCTCCTCAACTTTTTAACTTGACCACGTATGCTCTCAGCTCGGCAACTCTGTGCAGGCGCAGTGCCGCATTGTACAATAAGTAATTTATGAAGACAGGCTTGGGCTTGCGATAGCCAATAATTATAACCGGGATGATGAATACTTTGTTGTGCTCTGCGTGCATTACCTCGAAATTTATTGTTCTCCGTGTCGTTTTTTTATGCCCTGGAGTGGGTGGCACTCTCACAATTTAATAAAAGAAAGAGACAGAGAAACGATAATAAAGCAGCACTGCCAAGGTGTTGAGGCATTTTTATTTTCCAATGGGCCTCTTTTATAACTGCGGCAGAGAGGAGTGCAGGGCCACTCCCAGACAGGAATCCATTGATTCAAACCTGGCTTGTAGCTTTTGGGAGTTGAGTCGAGGTGTCGGATGAAGATATTTTTGACATTAAAATAATCGTGGAATTCAATTTGATGCTAAAAGAAGTGATAAATATCGAGTTTACTATACAAGTAAACAAAAATAAAAACAAATCGAGATCCATCAATCTCGTCACGTTAGAAGGAAAAACTCTTTAGTGAAATCTTCAAAACACTTCTTTGGCAAAATATTGTACAGGTTTTTTAACAACGCATTTGGGATTCGGCTCGCGTTTGTGCCTTTTTGTGAATTCAACTGAGCAACCTGTGAACCAGGAGCCGCGTGCACCGAGCTTCAAAGACGGTCACGACGCCTCAATTTCCTCCCGTGATTTGCCAGTCGCGGGTCAAAGTTGAAAACAAGCCTGCAAATCCTGTTCAACTGCATCACGCTCTCTGCTTGATCCGACCGTGCAACTATTACTCTTTTTCCGCTTACAAGGCCCATCAGCAATTTTGTAATCGCTACACACGGCTATTATATTTAATTACGCTTTTTTTTTGTCAAAAATCCGCCGCTCTGAGCTGGTTTTTGTAAATTTCTTTTTTCAGCCAGGCCAAAAATAAAAATATGTATATAAAATCGCTGCCGGCGGAACAAAGAAGAAGCTGATATTTCTTGCACCTCTCCATTATTTATGCCGGAGATCAGTGTGAAAATTGTGTTATACTTGGACGAAACGCCGGCAAGTGTTGATTTTGTATTCATGACATGGAAAATAGATGATCTTTTAATCAGTGATAAAATCGAAATGGGCGTAGCCTCAGGCACACGGATGCCCAAATTCTGACCAAACCACAGGGTCGGTGTGTCGCACATAAATAATATTTCGAGCAACCAGATTAAATTAAATGGACGCGGCGGCGCGTTGATCATTATCGTAATTGCTTCCATACACAATTCAAATTGCTCTGCTGTGGATTTGTTAAATTTTTTGCACCCGGTATGAAAATGAATAAACTTGTTCGTTTTCCTTGATTAGCTTCGTATAACTAATTTAACTGATCCTTTTTTCATTTGGTCTTATTGAAAATGTTGATTGCATGTTCTAGCACGGCAACACTGCACTGCACGAGGCGAGTTGGAAGGGTTTTGCGCGGTGCGTCACCGCCCTGGCCAAAGCCAAAGGCACCGACCTGGAAAAGAAGAATCGTGGAGGTTTCGCGCCTTTGCATCTGAGCTGCCAAAACGGACACAATCAGAGCTGCAGAGAATTACTTATGTCTGGATGCAACCCTGACATACAAAATAACGTAAGTTTTTATTTGCGTCCTTTTTCATTATTGTTGTGACTTATCCAATAATTATTCTACTCAAATCAATAAAAAAAATGCAGTGGTTTGGTCTAATTGTTTAAATTGATCTTTGAAAACATCTTGTTCCAGAAACACATATTTTTTTTTTAAATTAATGATTAGTATGATTAATATTTCTTTGCCAAATAATTATTTTTCCAAATTCTATCTCTATTTATCCAAGGTACATAATTTACACCACTATACAGAGATCCACTAAAAAATTTTCAAATTGACATTTTAAGAAACACTACAGCTCAATACAAACACATATTGTAATCTCAATGACCACACATAATTTTAATTAAATTTATTTTGTGCATTTAAAACAAACGTTTAAATAAAATAAGAATAATTGCTTCAAAAAACATCGCCAGAAAAAGCATCAGTTTGTTTCACAATTGCAAGTGGCAAATCTCTAAAGTAATTGAGTGAAAATGAATAGAGCCTTTCACATGAAATTTCACTTGAGGTGAGAAAAAGCAGTAAAATAATGTCAGTCACGCCTGCTCTTGCGGTTTTCAATGAAACAGAGCATTGCCAGGCCTCCAATTACCGACCTGTGAACATAGGGCTTGACACTTAGGCATTTTATTACACTCGATTATATAGAATTTTGCCTGATTAAAATAAAAGGAGAGGAAAGGGCAGAGCTAAATATTTTTAAAGATACTAAAAGAAAAGTAATTATAAATGAAACATTTAAAAAATTAAATATAAAAAAGATTAAAAATTTTATAATGTAATAAAAAAACATTTTTTGCAGTACGGAGACACCCCTTTACACACAAGTGCCCGCTACGGTCACGCAGGAGTCACGCGCATACTGATCAGCGCCAAGTGTAGGGTATCCGACCAGAACAAGGTATTTATTTTAATTTTACGATTCTCTCTTGCTTGGGCACTTTTACGATTTGATTGTGTTCAGAACGGTGACACGGCATTGCACATCGCAGCAGCCATGGGGCGCAGAAAGTTGACCAGAATCCTACTGGAGGCGGGTTGCGACAAAAGTCTAAAAAATAAGGTAATTTTGCATTGAGTAGCGCAACAAGTTTATTGTTATGGCGACCGGCATAAAACGAGACAAGTTGCTCTGACAGTTTTATTAGAAAATTATAAATCTCGCAGTTTCTTATTTAATTGGCTCTTGTATTAAATTGATGGTTCAATTTCCAGCAAGGAGAGACTTCAAGAGATATTGCGACAAGGAAAGACCTGAATGAAATTCTGCAGATTTTGAACAGCCCTGCTGCAGCCCTGCCACCGAGTTCGTCACCAGACAAGATTAGGAGCAGCAGCAGAAAAGCCAAGGAGAGGAAAAGCGAGACCGGAAAGAAAAGGGAAAAGGCAGGAAGCGGTACCAGCAGCAAGGACTCCAGTTCAAGACCTAAAGATCGCAAAAAGGTTTTAAAAAATGTTTTTTTTCCCTGTACATGAGCAATTTATATATTTTTTTTTCAGTCAAAAAGCGGGAAAGTACATTTCGAGAAAGGAAAAGGTTCCAAGCAGTGGTCTCCGTATGGCTGTCACTACTACCCAGACTCGACCTCGTTTCCACAGCCAAATTTGGACTCTCTACCCAAAGAACCACTGAAGAGAGGGGAACAGTACTTTTTGGATTTGGCTGGAAATATTTGCAAGGTAATTCTAATCCTCGTCAAATTTAATGAATCAATTTATTCTTTAAAATTATATTTTTCAGGGTCCCGTCGGGGTTGGCTACACCTGCTACTGCGCACCATTTTTCAAAAACATGGAGGCGCGTTTAGACAAGGACAAGCAGGAGTTGAAGGAACACATCGACGCAGCTCACGCCCGCCTGGACGAAAAAGTAACCAGCTTGGAAATGAAAACCCATGGGAAAATCGAGGAGTTGTCTAGGTGTGTGGCAGCCGAGCGCGCCGAGTGCCACGAACGACACGTCCATCTGAAGAAGTGGCTCAGAGGCGAGTTGGTCAGAGGAGGAGCCACAAGGGCGTCGGAGAGACTGCCCTCCAACAGAGTTGAGCGCCAAATGTCCAGAACGAGGAGTCTCGAAGACCTGTTGGATGAGCAGCGAAGGCCACAGCAGGCTCCCGTCCTCAATGGGTCTCACCAAGACCTGCGGTGGCCCCCTCAAAGGGTAATTTATACTTTTGCTGTCTGAGATTTAAATTATTTGAATTCATTGAATTTTAAATAAAATAGAAAATCAATGGATATTAATTAAATTTAATTGATAAAATTTTTATTTAAAATTTTTTTATCAGATTTATGTTTTCAGTTACAAATATTAATGATTTCATTCATGTTGTTTTAGGAATTTCTGCCTGTGGCAGAGGAGTTAGACGATGGTGCTAGTTCAGAGTCAAGTGAGGAAATAGTACAAGCCCCCATGAAAAACGGCCATGACTACGAAAACGTTGCCTTCAAAGAGGAATGGACTGTGCAGCACAATTGGAGGCAGTGGGATGAAAGAGCCGAAATGCTCGACGCCAGACTTGCCTCCTTAGGCATGAGGTGCCGATCAGGTGTTTACCACAGCAACGGAGCTTCCCCAGCCACGGACACAACTGGAGAGACGCCCAACGAGTCTGGATACAGCAGCAAATTGTCAAAAGGACCCTCACCAGACATAGTTGACGGTAAAAATAATATTCAAGAAATTTTCAATGCATATTTTACTTGTAAATTTGATCAGGTCAACAAGTGCCCAATGGTGTGGTGATGCCACCGAGTCAGCAAGGCTACTACAGCCCTAGAATCGGCGGCCACGTGCCAGGAGTGCCAGTCATGAACAGACAAGATCCCCAAATAATGCCGCAGTTACAAAAACCTATTGTGAGAAGATCCACCGCGAGCCTTGTATAGCCAAGCACATTTGCCTGTTCTAACAATACTCAAAATGTATATTTCCCGATGTGAATTTTGTAATGAAAATAAAATAATTTTCTATTTAATTTAATACCTGGTTGTTTTATTTTTATATTACAACTGCCGACTGGGTTTCTTTGGCTCTCAACTCTCTTGTGTCAGGTCCAACTGCTGAGCTGCCGTACTCACGCACGGAACTGTGATAAAGAGCTTTTCCTTGCAGCGATTGTGAATTTGCACTTCTAACCTAAAATTTAAAATTAATTGTGAGGAAACGTAATACTTTTTCTTTTGGAAAATTTAATACCTCAACAACAACATAATCTCCAGCCTTAATCTCCCTACAAGAAACAGAGGCTACACTTTCAGGAATGGGCTCTGCAGGGAAGATAACTTTTAGATTAGCTTCGTTTCTTCCAGCATAATCCAGTTTTGATTTCCGACTTGTCTATAAATAAATAAAATTAAATCCAATACATATAAACACAGACACTATAAACTCACTCCTTCAACCAAAATAAGTTGCTTTCTGCCAATTTGAGATTTGTTGAGTCTCTCTGTCGTCTGCCGCATAGTTACTGACATTCTCTCAAATCTGCTCTTTTTCACCTCGAGAGGGACATTATCCTCCATTCTGCGATGGGCATGTGTTTTTTCTCTGAGGCTGTAAGGAAAGATGTACATCCAGTTGTACATAACTCCCTCCATGAGAGTGATGGTCTCGTCGAACTCGGCATCAGTCTCGCCACAGAAACCACAGATGAAGTCAGAGGACAGAGACAAATTTGGGATGATCTCTCTAGCGTGATCCACAAGCTCTAGATATGCCTCCCTAGTGTAACCACGACGCATTCTCTGCAGAACTTCGCTGTTGCCACTCTGGGCAGGTAAGTGAATATTCTTGCAAATGTTGTCCCTCTCATTTATCAAATGTAAAACCTAAAATTGAGCATCAACGAATAAAATATTTCCCTATAGTAAAAATTAACTTGCCTCATCCGGAAAGTCTTTCGGATGGGGCGAGGTAAATCGAATTCTCATTTCAGGGTCCACGAGCGAGACCTTATCGAGCAAATCTGCAAATCGCAGTCCACCTTTCTTTATTTTGTAAACAGTTTTGAAACCTTTCGCCATGTTAGTTTCAGCTGAGAAAAAATGTTGCTGTTCCGACAAATCACGGTAGCTGTTTACATTCTGGCCTATAAGAAATAACAAACTATTTTAAAAAATTATTTAAATTGATAGAAATTTTACCCAACAAAGTAACCTCCTTGATACCCTGTTCAGATAAAACCTTAATTTCTTCTACGATAGAAGCTATTGGCCTAGATCTTTCTCTTCCTCTGGTAAATGGCACAATGCAGTATGAACACATGTTATCACAGCCTCTCATTATAGATCTGAAAAAAGCATAAAAATATCTAAGTTAGGGGAAACTCTCACTATTTTACTTTGCACTCAAATTATTTATTAATATATAGTTGAAAAGTTTATCTGTTGAAAGTGACCATTTTAACTTACACAAAAGCAGATCTTGAACTCTCGTTGAGTCTGATAGGCATAACATCTGCGTATGTCTCATCATGAGACAGCATCACATTGACAGCCGTCTGGTTATCTCGGCTGATGGCCAGCAGACGAGGTAGATCGCGGTAGCTGTCAGGACCAGCAACAATGTCAACTGACTTTTCCTTCTCGACCAATTTTTCTTTCAGCCTTTCTGCCATACATCCTAATATTTTTTAAATTTATCCACTCCGTTATTTATGTTAATTTTCGATCCCTCTCAGGAATCTCATTAAAATTTACCTAAAACTCCTATTTTTAGGGGCAACCTGTCTTTCAGTTTGGCCCGAGCGTTTTTGATACCACGGTAGTTTCTGAGCTGGTTCCAGACTTTGGTTTCTGCTCCTTCGCGGATAGCGCAAGTGACGACAAGGATGATGTCAGCGAATCGTATGTCCTCCGTTTTCTCATAGCCCTTGTTCTTCAGAATAGACCACACCACTTCAGTGTCGTTGACATTCATTTGACAGCCATAGACGTCAAAAAACACTATACAATGATTATTTGAAAATAAATTTTAGACACTAAAAACTAAAAAGTATATTTTTTACACAAACCTTTCTGCCCATCTCCGCTGATTTGGTCAAGGTACGGAATGATGACCTCAGCTTCAGGAGGAGGTTCAAGATCCTTGTGGATCACACTGTTTGCAAGAAAGTGTTCTAAACCGGGTCCGTCCTTGATGTTGGCTTTGTGTTGAAGACTTGCTGAAACACCAAAGTTTCGCAGGAAGGAGTTGTTGCGCCGCTGGAAAAATCGCCTGCACGGAAAATAGCGCAAAATCCTCAGAGATAAACTCATGATTTCACTGTTTGTGTAAATTGCAGAGGATTAAAAACATAACCAGCAAAAATTGTTGTGACCACAAGGCAGAAACGACGTTATAACGATAATTTATAATTTTTGCAAAATTATTTTTTCTGGTTGTTCATGTTATGTTATTGTTCAGGTTTACCATATGGATGTGGATAAATATAGATCAGGCTGACAAACATAGACACTATACGTATTGATTTTTTCGATTTTTTTATGAGACAATTGACTTGTTTATCGGAGTGAAATATAACGACATAAGCATTTAAAATGATTTTAAGAATAATTACAGTTATTAATATAAGGAATTATTTATATAAAATTTTTTTATCATACTTTTAATTTAAAACAATTGTATTTTGTTCAAAAGTTGGTATGATTGCTTATTTACCTGTTTTGACTAGACAGACTCTACGCTGGCCGAAGGGCTATGAATGTTGGTGAAAATGTTTTGAGTGATAAATGTAGCTGAATTTCCAAACATATTCGATCTAGAAATGTCGGGACGAGATAGCTACAGATACAGTTCAAAATACTCAGGTTTGATTTTTACAAAGCTTCCCCGAACCTTCCTGCAAATTCGCGTTAAAAATGATCAACACTGCACTGCAGACGTGTTGGATAATTTCTGTCTCCAGGATTAAAATGATTTTGTCCTGTTTTATTTTTACATTTTATCCATTCACTTTGTTAAGTATTTTGGGCTGAAGATCGAAAAAGCCGCGTCCTTATTAAGCATAATGTTCAAAGACGGTTATCTGAATCCACCAGTGTTAACCCAGCAGGATCTTCAAGCCATGGCCAGTCAAGGGAGCGGTCGAGATCCCCCCTGGACGATGATAGACGACCAAGAAATCCAGATCCTCCTAAGCCGAAACCCATTCTGATAGGCAACAAAAATAAACCCTCAGGCGGAATTCAAATGAAACTGCAAGCACCCAACTTGCAGGTATGTAATAAATAGATAATCATCAGAAATTTAAAAAAAAAAAATCTATTTTATTTAGCAGGCAAGCAAAGCTGAAGCGCCAGTGGTCAAACCAAAGAAAAATTTAGTTGCAGCTGTCTTCAATGACGACAGCGATTCCGAGCCAGAAGAAATGCCACCCGAAGCAAGAATGCGCATGAAAAATATTGGACGGTGAGAAATTAATTTATTGAAAAGTTTTTTTCATACAAAAATTGAAGTGCACAATAAAAACAAATAAAAAATTATTTTAGGGACACTCCCACATCATCCGGGCCAAACTCCTTTGGTAAGACGAAGCAAGGATTTTGCGATCCCAGCAAGCTATTTGAGATGTCTGTTAAGAAGTTGCAGGAAGAGTCTCCAAGGTCATGAAGCGTAATTAATTGTATTATTTCTACGTATTGCACTCATCTTTATTACTATTATGTGCAAAAATCGAAACAATTTCTGTTCAGTTATTTACATACAATTTTCATTTTTCTTGTGGTGCTTTTGATAGAAAAAATGTAAAAATCATGATCTTCAACACTGTAGGATTTCAAAACACGTAATTGAAAATTAAACGATGTACATTTAAGTCTATACGTTAAACATTATTATTTCATTCTTTTTAAATTTTTACTCGAGCCCCTCCTCCATACTCAGAAGCATCTGCAAACCAGTCTCAAGAGAAGACTGCATTTCCTCACTGCCGGCAGGAAAATGAATCTCGACTGCGGTCTCTTCCTCTTGGCTAAACTTTAAAATTAGAATCACATTTTTTTTACATCTTGCAGTAAACTTACGGCACTGGAAGTGGGAGAGGATTCTCTTGAAGTTTTTGAATGGCGGCTTCTAAATTAAGGCGATACACAATCACACGCTCCTCATAATAGTTTAAAAGATCAGCCATGGTGCCAATACCTGTTTCCATCAATGCAGATTCAGGCTAAATAAAACAAATTGACAATGCCTTAGTCCTTTATCACACTATAGAACAATTCATACCGATTGATTTGCCTTTCGGTGGCTAAGCTGCAAGCCCATGCTAAATATAAAGTGCTTGGCAGCATCTGTTAGCGTTTCTAAAACGGAATCCTTTGCGTCTAAAAAGAAAAAAAATATGCTAAATTAAAATTATTATTCCAATACAATTCAATGGCAATTCTTACAATGACAGCCGCTATGGGCTACAAGTGCAGTTACAGCTTTTTTTGTGACCTTTCTGCAAATTTCGGAATCGATGCCTTCACTGGGATGTCTAAAATATTTTTATATATATCTAAAGTTTTAATGAAATCTAATTTGGTTAAAGGTGAATTAATTACATATTCGGTTTAACATCTTCGTTCGAATGCCGCCGTCTCCGCTTCCATGGAATTATTTTTTCGTCCTCCCGTTGCAACTGGACCAATATTTCTGAAAGCTCTGATTCTCGACCCATCTGTCTTACAACATCCAGGCATTGAATTGCGGTCAGGACATTTTCGTCTAATTTGGCCCAATCGTCATTTTCTCTGAAAAATAAATAATAAATAGAGGATTACATTTAAATGGAATACTACATTGAAAAAAGAAAATTAATTACTGTTTAGGCTGCGGTCCTGGCAGGGGAGTGCACTTAAGAGGAACATCGACCAGCAAATTCTCTCTTTTAGGCAGTGGCTGATTTTCCATTGTTGGCTCTTGACTTTTAGAGGGTTTGGGGATTTCGCCCCATAATTTTCGACTTTCGGACATTTTTACAATAAAAATAAGATATTACATGGTTGAATAATTTACTTTAGAGCTATGTTAAATTAAAATTTCACGAATAATAAAACTGTCAAACTCAAGTCGAGGTATGATAACTAATATTTGTTTTCTTTTTCTATGTTTTCTGTTTGGCTGCGTTGGTAGCACTGTCAAAACAAGACAAGATTGTCTGCCAACGCCGGCACCGCCCACCACCACCCGCCCCCCAGCCCCAGCACTAGTCACTTGTCAAAAACACGGGATAGAGGCGCAATTTCAACGTGATCTTGCAATTTTCTCAACTCGAACTCTTTAGTTATTTTTTAAGTAATATCTTGGATACATAATTCAAAAATGGATAGTCCGAGAGTGCTTCTTTCTATCCGAATTCCGGTACACAGCAGCCCAACTCTTCGAGAGGTTTCATTCACAGGTTCAGTGCAAGAACTCCGTTCCTTGGCAGCAAAAGAAACTTCATCAGAACCAGACCTAATCAGTATATTAATATGTTAATGCTTTCAAAATTTGACTCTCTACAAAAATTCAGATCTGATTTACCGAGGGCTCGTCTTGAGGGACGGCAACGATTTGTCTACCTATGGTTTGCAGACAGGAGAAACCGTTCACGTTTTTTCAAAGAGTCGCCCGACGGTAAACAAAGAGAGACCTCAACTCACAAATGAAGAGGCAAGTCAAATTGCCCTAGCTCTGAAGTCAGCTGCTGCAGGAATTCGCTTTGCTTTGTCGGTAACTTTTTATCACTTTGTAAAGAAAATATTGAATTTTTACTCACTGTTAATTTCAGAGGTTAAATAAGGCAGACATTTTTGAAAATGTTTTGGCTGCAATTCCTGGCTTGAAAGAAGATCCAGTCGCAGTTTCTATCCTCAGAGACCCTGACTTGCTGATGCTCATGGTGGACGCAGAGGTTGTCAAAAGAGTCAGCAAAAAGTGTCCCTTATTGGCTGAGGCTGTGAAACATTTGGCTGCAGAATTTGCTGACCATGGCAAAAATGATGCTGCAAACAATGATGACATGGAGACTGAAGATTCTCCCAGACAGGGATCAAGACAAATCACAGGAAATCAGCTTGCTGCTGCTCTTGCTTCTGCAATCTCAGGTCTAGAGGAATTTATTAGCCGGTCTTATGATTATTAATGTCTATATTTTTTATTATTCCAGGAGTGAACAGATCTCGACAAGCACCAACAAGACTGTTCACCCCAGAAATGCTGAACTCTGCTTTGATGCAGGCATTCCAGTCAGTCCCTTCATTGGCCAACAGTCCTGCAGTCGCGTCAAATCAATCAGCTCCCACAAACACAGCACCCACACCTCCGACAGCCGTACTGATTTAATTTGAAATATATTTTCCAGATTTATGTTAAACTTAATTTCTAGGGTCCTTCAACTGCCCCACCTGCTGGTAGATGGGCCCAAGAACTGCAACAAATGAGAGAACTCGGTCTGACAGATGACAATTTGAGTGTGCAAATGCTGGAGATTACTAATGGTGATGTTCAGGCAGCCGTTGACCTGATTATTCAAAGTCAGTTCAACTGATGCATGTGGATATTATTAGTGCTGCAATAAGGATTTGGAAATAAAAATATGTTTATCAAATATAAAGAAAAAAATTTATTCAAATTTTGCCACTATACAATCATTATTTTAATTTTGGGATTTACTGTTTCAATTATCAACAATCATATAAATCTTTAAATTATTTTTAGTTCCTAATTTAATCAAAAGATATCCAAATGAAAGTCTTAGCAAGTGTAAGAATGCACCCTTTTTAGCTCAAAGTAGGCATTTGAAATAAATTGTTTGGTACACTGCGGTACAAAAATAAGAAAAATTAAAGACGGAAGGAAAATATTTCATTTTTGATTGGAGGAAAAATACAATGACTCAGAATTTATATAGATCTACAAATTTAAACATCACACTAATTGTAAGAGCTCCAAGTCAAGAGCTTGTTTGTGGGTTAGGGTAATGATAGCAAGTTACGGACAAAAAATATGAGATTTCTATTATTCGTATGTTAGTAGAGTTGGCTTACTAACTCATTGAGAAATAAACAAGCTATGCAGTCTTTCTTATTGCCTGCTCTATTCCACAATCTCCACACTAGGGGATTGTAGCACTAGCCGAATGCCATACTCCCTCTTGAACTCTTCTTCGTAGTTCCAATTCATGATATAACTAGTCAGCTCTCTGGGCAAACCCAGATTTGGTGCTTCCCTCCAAAACTGTCTACCCACAGCCTTTTTGATACAGTTTCTGCACAAACTCATAAGAGACCTAGGCGTCTTCATCATAGCTTGGATAACATCCATATCAAACTCCAATCTCTCAAAGTCTGCATATTCCAAGGCGTTTTGAGCGCCATGCTTAGTGTTCTGTTTTGTCCACATCCGACCTCCTGACTCTCGGTACAAGTGTAACAGTTTTAAAGCTGTAGGCACCCAGGGGGTTTCATCGTCAACAAAAACAAATAGGTGTTCAATGAGATAGTGAGGCACAGACTTGTCCAAGTTGATGTTGTTTTCCCTCTGAAGGACAAACGAAGCACCATGGAAGAGAAGAAGCTCTACCTGTGATTAAAAACAGAGTAAGTCAATAGTTGCAATTATATGTAATTTTATTTGTTGAATTGAAACAAAATATTAGAGATTTGAAATTATAAAAAGAGAAGTTTAATTTTTAAAGCGGGTTAAAGTCAGTTGAAGTAGGAAAGAGGATTCATGCGACTCAAGGGAGGGATTTAGTTAACTTAATTTAAATTTGGCATTTGAGTTCAATTTGATATATTATTGAATTCAAACTTTACCCATTCCAGAAGGTCCTTGCCAGGATCAGTGTAGAACTGGAAATGCCAGAGGCAAAAGCTAATTGGCGAATGTCCACTTCCGTCAGCGCATCGACGAACCCCATTGGGGGCAGTGACCAGTTGCTCAACTGTGGTTCCTCTTTCCAAGAGAAGACGTCCAACCTTCCGGACGTTGGCCATCACTGCTGACATCAGGTAGCGATTTCGTGAGGAGTCCAAAAGGGTGCCTCCCATGTAGTACAGATAGTGGAGACTGACCCCTAGATTGGCCATCGTTTCAATCACTTCGACGACAAAGTCCTAAATAGAAATTCATTTTATAATTAGATTATGCAAACATATTTATATAATTTTTCATTAAAAATAATTTAAATAATATGTAACAATTCATTAATTTAATTTACATAGAGTTTTTAACTCCAAAATAATACCTCAGGACATCTCAACCGAGCCGGAGTGCCTTTATCTGCAATCAGTCTGAGAAGGAGCACGGGAATTTGCTCGTCAGGAACGTGGGCCAGACCCATTTTGACCAAGTAAAGTCCGCATTTGGAGTGTCTGCGGCGACCAGCCCCTCGCAGGAAGAGCAACAGTCGGTCAGCGGCTGGTATCAGGCTTCGACCAGACTCGAGTTCGTAGACGAATTTCTGTCCCAATTGCAAATGATCCTCTTCAGTTTCCTTGCAATTGGTCTTGTGGTGGTTACGCCACTTGCGCGACTTCTCAGCGCCTTCGAATGGGTCTTCTCGCATTTCAAAGCTGGAATATTCTCATTCTCGTCAAATAAATGGAATTTTACTTTGATATCTGGAATTTGATATGATTGATAGGCTGAATAAAAATGAGAAATTGTATCACAAAATCACTAACAATTTGGTCTGCCTAATGTTTTGTTGATTTGTTTTTCGTTTTTATCCGGACGACTCCGACCTCCAATCCAACGCAACGAGGAACGAGGGAAGACGAGGAAGGAAGGCGAGGGTGTTGGGCGAGGGGCGAGGCGAAAAGAGCACAACAATCATTAGTACCAACAAGATTACACTACCTGCATATCGAGTTTTGCTTGATTTGTATGAAAGTAGGTTGGCAGCCTTGGATATTTATGAATGGCCGCCAGTAACGAGTGAAGAGTAAACATAACAAAAACATCCGAATTTCGACCGGCTTGTTTGTTTCGCCCAGTGGCTCTTTTTCTGACGTGGATCAAATAATTATCCACTATGGCAGATCCAAATTTGATGGACAAATCGCTCCGCTCAGTTTTTGGTGAGGGGGATAATGAGAAATATAATTTATGCTGAGCAATTTTCTACAATTTTAATTTTTTTCGTTAAATTATTTCAGTGGGCAACATACCATACGAGGCGACGGAAGAGAAGTTGAAAGACATTTTTAGTGAAGTTGGACCCGTTCTGTCTTTTAAGTAAATATTTGGTTGTTTAAAAATTTCATTTTATTGTATTTATTTTGATTTTTTGTGCAGGCTTGTGTATGACAGAGAAACTGGAAAGCCTAAAGGCTATGGCTTTTGTGAGTACAAAGACCAAGAGACAGCCCTCAGCGCCATGCGCAACTTAAACGGCTACGAAATAGGAGGACGTACTCTCAGGGTTGACAATGCTTGTACTGAAAAATCCAGAATGGAAATGCAGTGTAAATATATTTTTAATCATTCTCGTTATTATTAAAATTTTTAGTAAAACTTCTAATTTTTTTTTTACTTTATTCTCTTCTATAAAGGAAACTAAATTACATCTAATGAATTTATAATTCCAGTGCTCCTGCAAGGGCCAGTGGTGGAAAATCCCTACGGGGATGCTGTCGATCCTGACAAAGCCCCAGAGGCCATCAGCAAAGCCGTTGCCTCTCTTCCACCAGAGCAAATGTTTGAGCTCATGAAACAAATGAAATTATGTTGCCAGGTATAGTATCAAATTAAAGTGTAACAAATTAACTAAATTCAATAAACTTCATTGGTTTTCAATCACAGAACAACCCCTCTGAGGCTCGAACGATGCTTATGCAAAACCCGCAACTTGCGTACGCACTGCTTCAGGCGCAGGTCGTCATGCGGATTGTCGATCCAGTCACTGCTGCTGTAAGTTTCTGACTTGTCTTGTGTCTTGTCCTCCATCAATTTTAATATCATTAATTTCAGGCAATGCTACACAAGGCCAATCCGGCTCCAAAACCGATCCTAACTGCGGACAAGATGGCCATGCCTATCCCACCTCAGATACAGTTTGCGGCAAGCAGACCTAAACCAGATTTTGCACCAGTTCAAGACTCTTGGCCGGCTGCTGGTCCAAACATTCCTTTGCAGCGACCTCCTCCTGCAGCTGGTGGAGGTAAATATAATTCATATTTATTCTAATCAAGCTCGAATAGTTACAAAATTTAATTTAGGTGCCAAATTGACAAAGATTCTAAGTAAATTTCTAATTTTCCCTTTCTTAACAATGCAATAATTAAATTTCGCATGTAAATTTACTTGCAGATTTAGATCTTCGTCACTTGGATCCCCGAGCAAGGCCTGCCATGTTGGATCAGGATCTTCGTATGCCACCTGCTATGCCGCCGCGAGACCCTCGAGGAGAAAGGGGTTTCCCAACCGGTCCTTCTGAGCCATTTGAGCCGTAAGTCTCCTCTGCTTTACACAATACTGATAACTTTTCCCAATTTTTCAATAAAAATGAATTTTCTTAGTCCTATCATTCCTGTGGAGGATGGGTTTGTTGCATCACCGAATGGTCATTTAACTTTTGACCATAAATTTATACTCATTTTCAGCGCATTTCCCAGAGATCCTCGCCGAGACAGGGACATGCGAGATCCCAGGGCCACTTTTGTTGCCGATCCTCGAGGCGACCCTCGCTCTGGTAAGTTCATCATCTCTTCCTGGTTTACTGCATGGACATTAAAATTGCAGACTATCGGTTGATTTTGGCTATCAGCATGCTTAAAACTGCATTAGGTAAAATTAAGTATTGATTATTGAAATGAAGACTATTCACTTTTACTGTCTATCAAAGTGTGTGTAGTTTTGATTCACTTATGCAAGTGTCTTAACAACCAGTTGCACATAATTGATAATAATTTTATTTTCGTCTGATTATCATATAATGCTATGGAATCAAGTTTTGTAAAGAATAACTTTCTCCTCAACAAATGAAATAAACTTGCCTGTGTCGCATGATTTTGCCTGAAGGCTTCAAAGCCGACTCAAGTAATTAATTCAGATATAATTAGAGAGAGGATCGGTTTCAATTAGTTCTCAGGTAAATATTTCTATGAAGAAGTTTGCCTGAGGATTATCATGAATGTCTAACCGTCTTAATGCAGAGTGAGTGTTTTTCATGGAAATGAAATAATATAATCAAGATGGAAAGAAAGAAATCCTTCAGTGGGATTTTGAAATCGTGCCATCTGTTGTTCAGTAGCCAATATTTATGTTGAAACTTTTATTCACACATCATGCGAATAATAAAAATTCAATATTCAACTAGAATTCATTAATTATAGGCCTAATAAAAAAAATTCAACATAAAACTTGCAATGAACCTGAAAAAAATTATCAGCAAATTATTTTGATTGATTCTAAATCTTCCATCAACATTCCCCTTTATGAATTTCAGCAGTGCCGCCACCAGTTGCTGTCCCACGCCCTCCAGTGCAGCAAAGACCGCCTCCAAACTTCCCAGGCGCCGCTGGATTGAACAGTGCCTCCGACCAAGAGAAGGTAATAAACTAAATTTTTTGCCCCTCGAGTCCGTCTTACAATGGATCAAAATTTTTTTTCGCAGGCGCAACTAATCATGCAAGTGCTGCAGCTTTCCGACGAGCAGATCGCTGCTTTGCCTCCCGAGCAGCGGCAGAGTATTTTGGTGCTCAAGGAGCAGATTGCCAAGAGCACTCAGCGTTGAGACTCCTTGTCGTGTAATGATTTGTCGACATAATAATAAAAACAAACAAACAAACACAACTAATTAAGAGCAAAAAAACTGTGAATGTCACTTTAATGAGACCCGAGTTTAGCAATTGTCTTCAATGCGTTTTTCCGTCCCACTGATCATTGTAAGGCAAAACAAACAATAACGAGAGTACCATAGTGCGGTGGTGGGGCCGGTCAGGGCCAAAAGGGTGTCGAGATGCACCTGCCGCCCCCCTCCTCACTCGGCTCTCTGGAGGAAAGCCAGCAGCACTCCGGCAGCTCAGTATCATGGGCCGAGCCGCTGCTTTGCTTGTCATTTTCCTGCTCTGCCACCTGCGCTCAGGTGAGACTTTTTGTTTCATATTTTGTCACACAAACAAGTCTAGGATTTGCAGTTAAATTCCGGGGAATTTTTCTTTGCTTTTTTAACACAATATTGGGGTCATTTGCCCAGTCGCTGAATGGCCTTGGGTTTGAACTGCCCATGGAAACAAAGCTGACTGGAAGAGCAGGCCCAATTGCCAGTTCCTATATCCACTGTTTATTCGCCAAATTATAAGAAGATGACCCAAGGTTAGCCCTTTCACCGTGCATAAAGGCGGTGCTAATTGTTTTTGTTTCCCTTTCACCCAGCAAACGGTAAATCACACGCTTTAATGTGCTAATGTGCTTCGGAGGTGCTGATTTCACATTTGACTTCACGTACGCGCCAATTTGGCCAATTTTCCTGTCTGTCGATTTGTACCTTTAGCATTTTGATAAAGACGTTGATGCACGTCGCGACGGTGTGATTTATTACATTACAGAAAAAGTTTCAACTTCTCGAGTCGCCTCTCTTCTCGGATGCTCCAAACGGTCGTGATTTATTGCACTGTTGTTTTTCTCTACTATATATTATTTCCATGCTTGTCAGATCCTTTGGAAATCCAATTCCCTGAAATTAACCTAACAAGGCAAAAAAACAGTCTAAAAACCATTATTTGATTTATTTCTAAAAATAGTTTCGAAAGTGAATTCTTAAAATATTTCCCTTGCTTTTATGCGTGTGACACGTGACACTCCGAAAAAGAGCCGAGAGAGTGTTACACAATGAGGATAAATTAAAGACCACGCAAAAACCCATTATTCCAGGTATATCGCTCGCTCTTCTGACGTCACGCTTCAAAAGTTGCAATTTTCGGGCCAGCGGCAGGGTGGAGTTTGGGCGGGCCATATATATATCTATTTTAGTGTGCTGCATATTACACAAACAATTACACGCACACTTTACCACTCTCAGCAGGCAGCTTTCACTTTTTATATTTGTGTGCCCTTTGACCTTTTTGCAGAGGGAGCCGAGGAAGGAGCGCCCGTGAAAAAGGCGAGGGCCCCCGCCCAGCCTGGTGGCGAGGAATTGGGCACCAAGTCGGCCACCGCGCGACCTCACGACGACGACGATGGTCAGCAGTCGCATCTGCCCGCAAGCTTCCTGAGCCCCTCGGTGCTTCAGGCCCTCGAGCTGGGCAAGGCCATCCCAGGTGCGTTTGTAGCATTGACCTTTGGGGTCTCTCGATCGCGGATGGGGCAGAGGTCGCGCCGCGGTTTTAGTGGAAAATGAGCCTTGGTGTGTGTTATGTGTGTAATATATACACTCGCGCGCGCGTCGCTCACCAGTTAGTAGAGAGCGCGTGCTTATCTCTCGCTTTTATTATTTATTGCTCTTTTTGCATGGGATGAGTGTTTAGATTTTTAACGTTGTACCGTGTGCCAGGGTACTCTCGTGAAAATTGCTCCCCGTTTCTTGACTTAAATCAACTTATATTATGATATAAGAAACAAAAATAGTGTATCTTAAATATTTAGAATTCGTTTTTTGTTTCTTTCTGACAATTAAGAACAAAGGTGAACAAAGGGAAGGAAAATGTGAAAATATATTTTGTCATGTTGATTTTTTTCTGATTTAACACATTTTATTTAATACTCAAGTTAGATCACTTTATGGAATTGAATAAAGCAAAAAATGAACATTACACCTGATTACACCAAAATATAACCGGTAATTGTCGAAAACTGGATTATATTAATTAATTAAGGCAAAACAATTAGCATAAAAATAAAATATGCAGTGCATTAATTTTTATACATTGAGAAATATTTTAGACACACACATAAATAATACTATTATCTAATATTAAAATAATTTTCTATATTCTATATTAATTTAAAAAAAAATAATAACATTAAAGAAACATTTCTATTCAAAGAAATTCAAAATTTTGCAATTTTTAATTGTTTTTTTAAGATTTATATTAATTATTTATGCATATAATTAAAAAAAAAAACTATCTTTTTATTTAATCTTATGTTAAAATCTGATGTTATTTTTGCTTTGTGTACAATAAAATAATATAAAATATTTAAAATAATAATATATTAAAATAATTTATATATACACGTTATCGCACGTTATGAAAAATATCAGCATAAAATACATTCACATCTTGATTCTCACAGTATCTGCCCTTGATCTTGTATTAGCATAAAATTAAAATATAATTAACGTTTATATGCAAATCATTTCCATTAAAAGAAGGAAGATGCTTCTGTAAACAAATTAAGCGATCTTTCAAAGCCAGTCTCTCCATTTTTTATACTTTGGCATTGTCGAAATACCACAGCCATTAAATTCGCCATTGCGGTTGCATTATTTTTCTTTACTTTAATAGCTGGTGGTGCTCATCTTTTGCTCATCCCGGAAGAGTAAGAAATGTCATCATTTGGCATTGCAAATCCTTTGAAAGGCACCGCCAAAAAAGGTAGAGCAATGCTAATGTTTGTTATCTTTTTTTTTTGTTAAAAAAGGGCACTGCGCATAAGTCATCATGCATAATGATTCAAACACAAAGGTAATTTACACACACCAAGGTTGCGGCCCAGATAAACGGAATCCACACACACTCTGCACAACGCACTGCATAACAAGGGAGATGAAAATCGCCTCGTTTTTTTTCTCAAGAGGCAATTACGCGATTTACTTTGCAAGCCACCAAACCAAACCACGGTGTCTGTGTGTGCCTATTTGTCATTCCACCTCCGCGAGCGGCGGTGCCCTCGAGAGGCTTTTTCAGGCTAGAGAGGCAGAAAATTCAACAAAAAATTATATCGATTTGCATTTTTACAAACAAGGTGTAATTTGAGATGGCTAACCACCATACTAAAATTCAATTTTGCGTATAAAATTTACATACAAATGCCATAAAAGAACGCTTCGTTACGATTCACAATTAAGGCACCTCTGCAGACGGTATGTTCATATAAGTTGAGCATGAGCACCTGGTGCCCAGACGAGTCTGTAGGCGTGCGGCAGTCATAAACATATCACGGTGAATTAAAGTTTAAAAGAGATACTCCTTTTGCCAGACGAGCAATTCCATATTTCGCGTATTGCAATAATAATTCGGTAATAACAGAGGATGGGTCCGAGAGCGACTTGAAGAGGTACGCACGATTATTATTCAAAGAGAAAAGCGCCGGGTCCTTCGGCGTGGGATTTTATTGTGAAAACTTGTTTGGAAACTTTTTTTTATTCCTTCTCAGTGTGTCACAGATATAGTGAGAATAATGAATAAATTAGAGGTTAAGTAATGACATCTGCGCCATTGGATCTGGTATATTATTTTTTATGTGTAGTGCGGGGGATTTATTATTGAGATACATTGGATACGACGGCCTCAGGGATTGTCATCCTTTTCGGGGAAGAACGAGAGAGCTCGTTTGTTGTGGGCCATTAGAAGGTCACTTTGGAACAAATCCATCTTAATTCTCTCATGCCTCGGATATTTGTTTGACAGATACACATTTTTGCTGAACCAGGAAAAGGGTTAGAAAATTTTGTATTGTTTTGCAATAATCTATTGTAAGAGCTCACTGAAGTTAAGTCTATTACATTAATTAAATTTTCATTCATATGATAGGGAATGTAGCATAGGAATTTAAATTGAAAATTAATCATTCGTCCCTGTAAGGTTCAGAGAGCTGTGAAAATACATGCGTGACTCTCTGGAGATGGAAGTTGATAAATGAAACTAGTTCTGCAACATTGCTCAGACTCCGAGCACACGTGTAAAACGTTTAATCTGCACATACGTATACAGCAGTCATAAAAATGAAGGATTGAAATAAATAAAGAAACACCCGAGCAGTTAAATCATTTCCTAATTATACCTGAATGGTTGATCCAGATCTCAGAGTCTAAAATCCAGATGCCTTACTAAATTTAAAACAATAATATTTCATGACATTAAGACGAATTCTTAAAACTAAGCAAGTAATAAGAGTTTGAAAAACAATTTATGGCATTTCCTTGTAGGCATTGATTTAATAAAATATTGTAAAACAAGTTTTTTTAATAGAGACAGGAATATTTAAAGCCCATCATGAAGTAAAATAAATTATTATCAACTTAGTTCTTAATATCATACTTACAAAGACGCTATCAATTTTTTTTTTTATAAATTTAAATTTGCTCCTTCAGGTCGTGCTGGTTCAGACTACCCAGTGCTGGGCGAAGTTCCCTACACAAATTTCTACTGCGACGAGCAGCCGTACCCAGGCTTTTTCGCAGACACAGAGACCAGATGCCAGGTAATAAATGACAAAGGGTCCTTTCGCAACAACCTTCCGCGCGGCGAAACCTTTGACACGTTCGTCTTTAACAAGAAGTGAACGGGCGCATAATAAACAAATTTAGACTCTGTGCCCGGGAGTACAGCAACGAGAGCACTCCTCGCCATTCTAAAAACGTACGGGGCTCTATAAAAAATAATTTGACGATCAGCCTGCTCGGCGAGTTTGTGAGAAAGGAAGAGCCATAGAAATAAATCACAATTGTTACAAAGCCCTTCAGATAATTTTTTGTCAATAAGAAAAATTAAAAAAAAAAGAAAATTTATGTAAATGATAAGGAAAGATATTTCCTTTTATAGAATTTATAGAATACAAGATAATAATTGGTTTTGATTATTTTAATAAATTTTATTGCAGGCCTGGCATTACTGCGACATTGATGGACGCCAAGCGTCCTTCCTGTGTCCGAATGGGACTCAGTTCAACCAGGCCGTTTTTGTGTGCGACTGGTGGTTCAACGTGCGTTGCGACCTGAGCACGGTCCTTTATGCCCTGAACGACCGCCTTTATAGAAGGCCGCACCACGACGTGGCCGCTCCTCATCGTAGCATCACCAAGGATCTGCTGGAAAACATCTTCACTTAGTGCCATTTTATGTCTTTTAAATAAAGTAGTGAAATTTTTAGAAGTGTAGATAGACACTTTTCCAAAAGACTGCTGCGGACAAAAGATCAGATGGGAAGGGTATATTATCTTTTTTCAATTAGGTTGTGGCAACTCAGGGCTCTTATCAAGCCTGATTTCCGTGTTAAAAAAATTCAGTTTAATTGCCTCGTTGTCACAAAATGTACGCCAGAACCTTGGCATTAACAAATTTGCCTCTCCAATTTTCTTCGACAGATAATAATTTCTGCTGTAAGCTGGGTGCCGATATATGTTATCCGCCGCGTGACCTTAAGTTAAATATCTCTCCCTTTTTTGTGCCTTCCTTTTCATCGCGAAACAATTACGCCACAGATTATACAGATGACCGAACATTTTCGCGGCTCGCATTCGATATTCTTTGCTCTTGTTGTTATGCGCGTGGAGTTAGCCAAAGGTGCATTCGTGACTAGGCAATGAAAGGATATAATATATAGAGCAAAGACCTTCGCGCGAGCTCGGCAGTGAAAGGAACAACAAAGGAACAGGATTTGAATTGGCGGGCGGATTACATTATCTTGACTCTGAAATTATAAAATTGAAAATGCTTTTTATACAAAAGCGATATATCGAGAGTTGTGTTGTTGCGGTATCCGGGGGCGTGCAAAAATCATGAGGTTCAGGCTTGACAGCCGGCGAAACTTCGTGTTTCTGTTGGGCAATTTATCTTCCGCTCGGAAAGTGCCTTCTAGTAAATTATTTAGACTTTTATATGCATCTGCATTGTGCCTTTTTTAACGACGACGAATTGTATTGTCTTGCGCGGTGTATTCGACCAGCGGGCGTTTTTTTTTATTGTTTAGCAGTACCTGTTAGTTTCGTGGACTTGATGCAAAAGTACAACTTCTATTTCCTCCCTTTTTGCAGTTTTATAGCCATGTGTGTAAGACCGGCTCACGTGTACCAGTATTTTTTCCTCCAGCCATTCTCCGCCACTTATAATGTATTCTGAAGTTGTTCAGCAGGACATCAATTACTATTTCGAAACTAGAAAATAAAAACTACCTGATTAATTGGCAACGTCAATTAATTTTGTTTTGTTCCCAAAACGTCTCCATTAATTAAAAAACGTCTATAATTAATTAAGATGATCATTTTGAATGCGAATAATATTTAAATATACGGCTCGATATAAACTATTCCTGAATCCTTAGAAAAATGCTGCAAGTTATGGTAATGAGCATGAAAATTGTGCAAACTTTGCATTATATGCAAATGCAAACACCTTATGTTTAAGAGGAAACGATACAAAGTTGAATATAAAGTATCGTATTACACAGTAGCTTTAAAGAGGATTTTGAGGAAACTCAAGTACAGTCTATAAAAAAGGAAACGGGACACTTGCATTTTTGTTACGCGGAAAGTATCAGATTTCACAACATTTTCCTCTTGTCTTTGTAAAACAGGAATTTTTCTTTTTCGTCGTTCGCTTAAAAAGCGCCACCTCTCTCAAAAAATCTTATTTAATGGTCTAAACGTCTTACTCGCTTGTCAATTAGAGTGGGCGCATTAGATAGTTGATTTCGCAGACCACCGCGGCCTCTTTGGGACAAAGCCGAGCACCAGCGCCGAAGAGAAGGGAGAAGGCGCGCGTCGAGAACCTTCAAGTTGAGAGTCTCTATCAACATGGAGAACAGGACGCACCTTTTTCTTGCACTTCTCAGCATAGGTGAGTGCACTATTATTGATGCTAATAACTTGGAGATACGCAACTGAAAGGAAGTATTTTATAATTTAGATCTATTACACATTATCAATTTAAGTCTCGCGTAATTATTTTGTGACTTAATGTCACTAATTTTAAGTTGAATTGTGTGTAATTCAACAATATGAAAAAAAATTGCAATAAAGCTTGAAAATGTGAAATTTTGTGATGCAATGTTATAATTTTGTTTAATACATATAATGTTTTTAATTTAAAGCTTAATATTAAAGCTTTGCGAAAAGGGAATATATATTAGTTGCAAATACAATGACAAAAAGATATTTTATACAGCCCATCATATATATTGCTGAAATTAGAAACTAATGAAAAAATCAAGGTGTTCGTTAGATTTATTATTGTGTTGGCGTTGGCAAATATATAAACTCTCAACTCTCAGCGCCGCGCAAATAAAAGGCTGCCCAGGTGGTGAGCCAAATGTGTTTATTACACGTTCTCGTATACGAAATTTATTACGTTGAACTATGAGAGAAAAGTGTTTTCGTGCGCAGCTCTCCTGATAATTTAATATAGCATAGACCGTCGATAATGATGACGGACAGCAGCAGCAAAAGGCGCGCGCCGAACACGCGCCATTATTGCGGAGAAATGCACAAATTAAAATGTTCGAATTACTGCACCGACCTACTCTCACGCAGAGAAATTGAATAATAATCGTAAAGTCCCATTGTATGAAAATGCAAATTTCTCTACCAAATTCCAAGGTTCTTTCTCTGCGTAAAAGCTGCTCCCAATAATATTAAATTACAAATAAACTTGCGGACAAATTTAATTCTTTTGTCGTGATACGCTTTTAAGGAATTCGGAGATTGTGAATTTTTGATCGTGCGAGACCTTGGTCTTAATTGCCTTTTCACTATTAAAAATGTTCTTTTAAAAGCTCTACAAAATTATCACTCCATCATCTCCTCGGGGGAGCTAAACTAAAGCCACAGGATTAAAGCAAGACGAAAAAGTGACACGACAAAAGCTCGTGATTTGAGCTCTATTTCGTAAAGCGTTGGTTCCGCGGATGATATATACACGCTGAAAGAAACACATTTTAACGATAGTCATGGTGCCTTGCTCAAGAAAACAAACAATTCCGACAAAGAGGCCGCACATAATATAATAGAGAGCAACTCGCGGTACATCTTCCGCCTTTCCCCACGCACGTAGCAAATTTAATGTTCGACTCATCCGCGATTATTTTGGTACAAGCCGCACAATGAAAATTTTTGATTTGTGCGCTCTCGTCATTGCGGTCTGCAGAAGCACGACTTATTTTATTTAAATGCCGCGGGAAATGAATCGGCGGCTTCTTTGCGTGACAAGAAAAAAATTCACACCGTAGCTTTCTTGTCAAGATCGTCTTAATAGCATAATGAGCGCTTTCTTTATCTGAAACAAAATTATGAAAACTTCTCTACGCGAGCAAATCTTCTCACCATCTTGCAAATTTTCAACAACTCTTGAAAATTAATGATGGAAATGAGAGAAAAATTGGATTTTTGCTGATTTTTTGGTTTTCAAATGAACAAATTCCATAATAAGATTTGTCAAAATTCTTTAAAACGTCAATTTCCTTTTTATCAAATACACCAGCACGGAAAAAATGGAAAATTTACATGGCTTAAAAGGATATAATACCAATGTTTGGATAGAAAACTTAACAACATTTATTATTTTAGAAGAGATTAGTAGAAAAATATTTTTAATCAGATCAGTGTATCAAAAAGAAATAATCCAGAAATATGCACGTTAACTTCAGTAATTGCCAGAAAAAATACAAAATTTTCTTCAAATTAGGTTTGTTTTACCCTCCAGAATAATTCCAAATTTTTAAATTCACGCAGCAATAAACAATAATAAAAAAGACGAATACAAATTTCAGTCCTACTTTATATCAAAACAAACTATTTATTAATGTCAAAACCTTTAAAAACACATAAAACGACTCTTTCAAAATGTAAGAATGTGTGAATCATAAGCTTCAATTAAAAATCTTAATTAAAAAGAAATGCGGACAGAGTAAACTTAATATATATTATGTCTTTAGTTTTGCTGTTTAACTCTCAAGGATTCATAATTTAATTTAATAAACACTATAATTTTCAGAACAATAATTTAAATTATTTACGTCTTAACTATTCACATAATTCATAATAAAATGGTCAACAATGGAAAACTTTTAAATCTTAATCTCTACCTCTTTTTTGTCATTTTAATATTTTACCTTGCAATACAAAATAATAAAATTTATCCGCGAATACATATACAAGTGTATGATTTTATTACATTAAAATTAATGTACCGTCTGTATTATTAAATGCAGTAAATTCACTCATGGGCAATTAATTACACCGAGTAAAGTAGAATTTATTGCAAGCATCGGTGCCAAAACGAGCAAGATCATGTGAATAATTTCTCCACAGTGAGAGAAGACGAAGCAAAAAGTGCGATTCTCATCCGGCGACGCACCTGATGTGCAATTACGCTTACATGACATATAGAGAGCTGCTCGCAATTAAAAGTGCGTTAAGCAAAAGTACTCTCCGGTCTCCAGGCGAGTGGAAACGCGACGACTGCGGCATGTAAATGCAAAGAATGCGAATTGGGTGATTAACCCGGCAGGCACAAGGCCAAGGTGAAAGTGACGAAACAACAAAACTACTTTCTTCCGAGCACGCACTTCTTTTCGTGAAAAAAAAAATGCAGGGTTGGGTATACCTGGCGAGAGAATGGTCATCCTGCAGCGAAAGTGGTCATTATGCACACACGCAGGTGCGGGCAGGTGAATGACAGAGGCAAAACCAGTTGAGTGCAGGGAGGATTATTTCATGAATCACTTTCTCTAAATGAGACACAATAAATAATGAGAAAGAAATAAAACGCTCGATCGTCTCTTTGACGCAACTTGCAGCCGAGCCGCCGTCTCGATCTTGCGTAATGCGCACACACATGGATCAATTGTACACGATTTATGTGGAGCATTGAAAGGTTGTATGTGTGCATATCTGATACAAATAACTCGTTACGAAAAGCAAAAGTAAGTTTTAATATATAACATGAAAATGAAGACTTAAAGAGTTAAAAATTGAATTTATGGCGTAGGGGTTTCCTGTCAGCTGAAAATGAAAGGGAATCGCTCGGTGCGCTCACACAACTAGAGCAAAAACTCTGTCGGAGGCACGTTAATTTATAAGTTCATTTAAAAAATCCAAAGTGGCTTTCTCGATAGGTAGCTACTCACTCTCGTGGGAGCGGATGCTATGTTTTTAAAGAGCTTTTGTCCGAGAACCGGCGGCGGCGAGTTCAAATCACGCCGGTGAGCGGATCGTTTGCGTTTATGTTACTCATGGCTGACGAATTTTAGTCACTTGCTGTTAGATCAGTTTGTATAAAAACGGAAGTCAAAAAATTTTTTTTTGAAATAAAATTCAGAAAAATGCGAATTATTAAATTTCATTGTATTTACCCCAATTCAATGACAAACACATATAAATGCAAAAGTAAATAGTATGTTAAGTAACCAACTTTATTCATTCATTTATTTTGACTTGAATGCAGTTTCAGTTTAGAAAATATTATTTTCAAGTATTATTTAAATAACAATTAATTAATTAATTTTCAATATTTCTCAAGCAGTATGCTCACAAGCTCTGTAGTGAAATATTCAAAATATTTCAAATATTTACATTGAAACTTAAACAGTTTCTTATTAATAATAATGAATAATATTTATACTATCTAACTAATTATAAATTTGCTCATAAAATAATAATTTGTTTCTTCTCTAATTAAATCTTGAAAGACACTCTTTAGTTAATAAATTTATAATAATTATTTTAAATTCAAAAAAAGTCACATAATGCCATTTTTCTCCTAATTTTTAAATTTTATTCAAATATATTTTTTGAAGATAAAACTTGATCTGTAAATTTTTTCAAATTATTCAATGATTAAAAAGCCCATTTTAATTTTCTAACATAACAGTAAATCCAGGCAATGCGTGGGAATTGACAGCCTAGCTGGTACAAGTGTACGTGCCTGGGTTTAGAGTGCTTGAATGCTATAATATAGGAAAGTTATTAATAACTTTCCTATTGTTTCTTCCCACGCCCAAATGAGCTACAGAGATATTTACCTTTTTGCTTATTTTTCCCCACTATTTTTACTTTAAAGAGATTATATCATCAATTTTTTATAGAAATCAAGCCTAAAATTTTGCTTACAAAGAATGATATATTAATTAATTTATTTTTTTTTAATTTAGTAACGTGACAAATGTAGGAAAACTTCAGTCATTTGATGATTTATTTTATCAATTTCATTATTAAAAATTGAAAAATTGAGTGGCTAAAATAATAATTATTGTTTTTTTATGTTATGATTTTTTTTTTCCTTAAAACCATCAATCCTGCTTTTACTTCATTTTTAATAAACGTAATTCCTTTTGCCACTTATCTTATATTAAATTTCGGCATTTTCTATGGTTACATACAACAAAAACCACCTTTGCCTAAAATTTACAATCCTGTCCCTTCATAATGGAGTTCCGTCGTTGTAGGCGGCGCCATCCAAAATTAACAAGGAAGTCGCACGCCTCTCTCTGATGCCTACGAAGCACTGCCGGCTAAATTTATTATTCCATTTTTCGCACATTTTTTTCTGCGCGTGCTGCAGTTTGGCTCGCACATGTGTCATAAAAAAAGTTGGCCAATGTGAAATTTCGCAACACTCACGTCATTCGCTTGTCTCCCTCTCGTCATGACCGAGATTGATGAGGCTGTCAACTTGTTGATTGTTGGGGGGCAGCATCCCATTAGGGAAGAAAATGCCTCTTTTGCAACACGCACACATAACACCTCGAAATTTTACGTTCAGTTGCTCATTACTTCACTCGCGAATGGTTTTCCAGTCCATCGAGTTTTATTCGCGTGTACGTTCCCTTGAAAGGAGAGAAGATTTCACGGCGATAAAACAACACTTGCGCAATTCACGCCGAGTGCATTTATTCCTTTTTTTTTCACTCGACCCCGGCGTGTGCCGTTTTTTTTTCAGAGAGCGCCCTAATAAAAGCGACCAACAGCCGAATTGATTGTTGTTTGCTCTGTTTGGATCATGAGAGTAAATCTTTGAACTCGCGCGACCCTGACTCGAATTCACCCGAGGGATTTAATTGAAATACTGCGTCTCTTCGCCTCATTAATTTTGTTTACGGCCCAAATTTAGCAACGAACAGAGAGGTCGAAAGTATTCGCTTGATTTACTTTTCAATGGGAATGAGGAATGATGGGCGTTGGATAGATGCATTTTACTTTCATTACAACGGCACGATTCTTACATTTCACGCACCAATATGCTATTATTTAGTAGTTGGCTTTTACAGCTCCTGGAATAGGTTGAAATTGTATTAGTATACTAAAATGATTATTTTATTGATTGAAATCCTTGGGCTAAATTGATTATAAACAATTAAATTAATTTGACCAACTGGTATCATGACTAAAAAATCAGGCAATCACCGATTTTTTTTTGTTAAATAAAAACTCGCAGTATTTATTTTTGCAAAATATCGCACAGTATATTCATTTAAAAAAATTGAGATCTGAAAATTATGTTATCATCTCAATATTCTATTTCCTATTGATACTAGTAAGTGCATATAAATCACAACAAAGTTTAAAAAAAAATTAATCTCATTACTATTTTTTCATTTTCTTTCCATAAAAATCACAGGTATCTTAATTTAGACAAAATTATTTTTCCAGTTATTCTCGTTGACATGTCAAATTGCATAAAAGTGTCATTCAACTCGCAACCGACGGATGATGGCATCAACGACACGGCGGCCCCTACCGAAGCGCCTAACCGCCCCCGAAGGTTAATTGCACCGTCCAACTACCAGTACTTCCTTTTCAACGGCATTCATCGGTATCCACAAGTGCCTCTGCTTCCGCAGGTTAATTATTTGTTAACTTTTGATTGATGAGGACAATAAAACAATTAAAATTGAAAAACAGGAGCAGGGACCGCCAAGGTTGCCTCTGTTGCTATCGCTGGCACCAGTAGTGCCAACGCCACCCCCACCTCCCGCACCTCCCAAGGCCAAGAAGGTGAAAAGTAACAAGGGAGCACCTGGTCGGCCGGGGGTGGACTACCCCACCTACAGAACCATCCCTCCGACGGCGTTCGACTGCCGAACGCAGAGGTACAAAGGTTTCTTTGCAGACCCTGAGACCCAATGTCAGGTGAGCAGATTTTTTTTCAAATTGGAATCATAAATTAAAATCACATTTATAATTATACCCGGCACAACTTTCAATTAAGTTAAAAGTTTTGAAACTTTTTTAACGCAATAATAGTTGTTTAATTTATTTGCGCGTATTTAATTGAGTCGCTTGACTTTCAACGGTCGTGAGAGAAGCAATTCTCAGCCTCGTAAAAATACACGTCCTTCTATTGCGAGCAAGTTTGATCATTCATTGAGTTGAGACAAAAAGAAACAGAGTGTACTGGCCGAGAATAATACACTCGACAAGGTTACTCAATAATGCAACAATAAAAATTGAATTAGTTACGCTCGGCCGATGAAAGTTACACATATATATATCTTTCATCTTTTGTTCCACATTGAATTGTTGCAATTCATTTAAAAAAGCAGATATTTATTTGAAGGATGTCGTGAAATACGATTGAAAATAAATCTCACGTTATTGTTGAGAAAAGAAGGCAAGTGTATACTTTGCCTTTTGATTTATGGTGAGAAAGTTATGGCAGGCACTTAACATAATATATGTCTCATAATAACGTGTTAATCACTGCATTCGATTTGCATAATGTAATTAAATATGCAAAACATCTGGTCAAAATGACTCACTCCAACAACAATCTGCAAAAGGCGTGCTGGTCGTGAGTTCAAACTCGAGACCAGCGTCACGCTCAACAATTTTCACTGAATGGAAACTCAATTTGGAGTAGCAAAGAGCAATATTTAACAAATCAAGCTGCACATAGGCAACCGGCAAAACACTTCTGGATTGAACGTTGCATAAATGTTTTACGATAAAGTATAAGGAAAGGAATAGTAACTAATTGTAAATGAACTGCGGTATATTGTCAAATACAAAAATTACTTATTTGATATTTTTGCAGTGATTTGATTTTCTTTTTTCCCTTCAAGGTCTGGCACTACTGTGACCTGAACGGCGGTCAAGCGTCCTTCTTGTGTCCGAACGGGACGATCTTCAACCAAGTCCTGCTGACGTGCGACTGGTGGTTCAACGTCAAGTGCAACTCGTCCCTGCAGGCCTACGTGCTCAACGAACGCCTCTACAAATTCATCACTCCGCACAAGCCGTCCTTCCCTGAGGACTTCAGCGGTCCGCAGGTTGACGAGTACCTGGTCGAAAAGCAAGAGGAACTCAGGGCTAAGGAACAGGCCAAGTTTGAGCGGCTCAAGAAAAAACACAAGCACAATGAATTCGAGGACGTTGACGAGCTGCAGGCATTGCTCGACAAAATGAGGGGAATCATCAAACAGTAGAATTTAATTAGATTTCCAAACTGGACTTTTTAATTGCCCCTGATTGTGATTAGAAAGCGGACGAAAAATGAAAGAGCGCGTGGTTTCTATTTTTTCCAAAGATATAAAATTCATCCTTCATTACTTTTACCCACTTTTTTGCTCATTTCATGAAAATTTAAACTTTGGCCAAATATGAATAATTATAAATTTAATCAACACCAATACATTGCATTCATAGAACAACTGATAGAAGTAGATTTTAGTTTATGTTCACTGTCATAAAATTTTTCATAAATTTATCGACAGTTTTAGCATTATTTTAAGAAACAATTAATTTTATACTTTAAATAATACATAATTTTTTTACTTAACCCTAGGTTATTTTAAATTAAGTAATCATAGAAGCGAGATGTCATGTATTCATAAATTTAAAAATAATCTCTTGCATTTGGAATCTAGTCAGATGGGATGAATTGTGCGAAGATGATATGCTTCCTTTCAACCCGTAATAATACCACCATGAAACGGTACTTCACACCGAAAGTCAGTGCACCAAGACATTACATTGTACCACCTGGTTTCAAATATCAAATGAGGCCATTTTGTCAGAAAATACTTGTTAAAATTGTAACAATACAATTTTACCAATTTTAAAATAAATGATATGAGAATGAATTCGGCCATCTGATTTTTTTATTTTTGCCTTGCCCTGACTGGTCTTGCCTAAATTTAGTTTTCACTGATGTTCAGATAAATTTTTATTCGGTCCAAAATGATGCGCTCAAAACGCCAGTTTCGCGCCACCGACTGTTACCGCTGAAACATCTAAAAATTCTTTGCATTGATTGGTTGACAGAGAAACGGTTGTGATTTTTACAAAAACCGATTTTTATAAAACCGTTGTCTCATTTGATCGCGAGTAATTTTATAATAAACCGAAATGAAAAATAAGGAAAACCGGTTACCGGTTTGTTGCATTTTAGATCTAATGTTTTGGTTATTTTAATTTTATTCCCAACACAGTTTATTGTGTTTTATTCTGCTTTTTTTTATATTTAAACTGAAGACAAAGACAACCGCCTAAATGAAATGAAAAAGATAAACCTCAGTGCTAAATAAGACGGCTTTTGTATGACGATGTTTATTGAATTGTCAAGTTCAATTTAGAGAAAAAATCACATCGCTGAGACTATTGTCATTTTGGGTAAACAATTTTCTATATTTAATTATTTTCTTTTGAAATATCTAAATTTATAACAATATTTGCACCATAAATTATTAAATTATGGATTGTTTTCAGAGCTTGTAAAGTCAGTAATGCACAAGGAAACCAATTCAACTGAAGATATATTTTTGATGGACGAGTCAAATGCTCACTATTTCTACAGAGTGCAGCTAAACCCTAATGAGTCAAAGGTGTCCCCAAGCAGCATCCTGCGAATTCAGGCTCTCGGCAGGCTGCCAAAGGTCATCAAGGGCGCTCGACCAGGAATCTGGGCCTCCCAGTTCAACTACACGTACCGTCCAAACGCCACCATCGACCATGGCACAGATATTTCTCTGTATGGCCAATGCCACAAGCCTGGAGATATCATTGGTGTCCACATCAACATGGTCAAACAAACCATCGAATTTAGTCACAACGGCCGGCCAAAGGGAATTGCCTACAGGAACGTGGTTAGTTGCCTCAGGCTATGTCTGACCGATTCGATGAAGTTGATAAATGTGCCTACGAGAATTAAAAAGGAAGACTTGCAGCTCTTCAGTTACAAGTAAATTTAATAATATTAATTATTTATCAAAAATATAAGAGGCTTAAGCCAATTTAATTTTTGTTTTATTTTAAGGTCGGCTTTGACTGTTCAAAATCACAAAGAAATTGTCCAGACGCTTCCTCCAGGAATGGCTAAGTTTGTTGAGTCATTCAAGTTTTTTGGTGAAATTAGTGGGCTCGGCCGAAGAAAATTAAAAAGCCCAAATGTTAAAACCAAACAGACTCAAAATATCTTTCGGGAAATTAGAGAGCCCAAACTTAGGGCAGTTTCTCGCCCTTCGAGACTGTTGAAGTTTTCAGAGAATGACCGACCAAAGAGATGCAGATCTCAGAAAAAATGTTTTTGCTGTGCTTAGCTTATTGAATTTTATAATTTTTTAAACTTTTGACGGATAATTGTAAAAATCAAAATAAAACTGAAATGCTTTAAATTTGTCAAATTTCAGTTCAAAACTATTTTAAAATGTGTAGTGTGTTGACTATTCAGCTGCAACAAATTTAAAATGAACTGTAACTTACATTGTCCTAAATTTTTTGATATCAATTTTATCTAAATGAATTTGTGAAAACGATCAAATGCAAAATACAGACAATTTGTCAAAATAATAAAACAATTTTATTTTGAGTCACAGATTAAAATAAATAACAGCTCAGGTAGCAGTTTCTTCTCTCCCGTTCTGACTAGCAGCACCAACAGAAAGAAAAGAAACAGCTCACACGCCTCTGTTTAATAAAAGATAGATATTTTCCGTCTCTTTCTCTGAATTTCTTCACTTGGTCAGGCTGAGTGTGGCGAAATCCGGCCACGGGTATTGGGGGGGCAGCGCCGAGGGGCCGTAGTGGAAGTCGTACATCTGGCTCTCGACGAACTTGAGGGAGCACGAGGGCTGCGGGTAGGTGGAGGCGATGCCTGCAGGGGGACAGACACTTGTAAAAGATTCACCTTAAGTAAACTAAACTAGACAGTGGCAAGCATAAGTCGTGAAGGAACCCGATAGAAAGTCTCAGAGCTGCGACGGCCACTTATAGGTCGTCGGCAACGCCGGCTTGTAGTGGAAGTCGTAGCACTGGGCTCTGATGAAGGCCTCCTTGTCCTTCGGTTCGGGGTACGTCCAAGCCAGACCTAGGCAGCCAAAGCAACATTTGCCCAAGTTAGTGGCCCCAGCTAAGCATGCTCCTTTTTTTTCTGTTCATTTAATTATTTTTTCCAAGAACTTGAAATTGATGGATACATTTAAAAGTACTCCATCAATTTAAAATTAATCCCAATTGCCTTATTTTAATCTTATTATTACTTAAAATTGATATAATAGAAGAATAAATAGATAAATAAGCTCCAATTCTGTACAATATAATATATTTACATCCAATAACCATGCATTAAAGATACATAGTGAACCATTGATGAATTTAAAAAAATAAAACTTACCCTTGGCGTACGCATGGTCCACAATTTTGGCAGCGATTTTCACAGAGCAGTCCTTGATGGAATTCAACGGGGGGTACAAAGAACCCTTGGCCAAATCTCCGTCAGTGACAAGCTCTGAGAGGGCCTGGAAATAATATTTCAAATAAAAAATCATGCTTTTTTATAACTTAATGAAATTAAAGAGATGATGAAATTATGTTACCTAAAAAGTTTTTTTTAGCTAGTAGAAAAAAAAACATTTTATCTACTCACTTGTGCTGCAATAAGGAAAACTTCATCGCTGATGTGGTGCATGCCAGTGCAAATGACGCCCAAAGCTACACCAGGGAAGATGTAGGCATTGTTTCCCTGTCCAGGGTGGAAGGTTTTGCCTTCGTAGGTGTAGGGGAGGAATGGCGAGCCGCTGGCAAACACCACTTTGCCCTTGGTGTTCTGGTAGGCTTGTTCGGCAGTGCACTCGGCCTTGCTGGTGGGGTTGCTCAGGGCAAAGATGATGGGCCTCTCGTTGAAGGTGCCCATGTCTTGAAGGATTTCAGGGGTGAAGGCGCCTCCGATGGCGGCGGCACCGATCAGCACCGATGGTTTGGCCGTCTTGACAACTTCAGCAAGGTGCCGGATTGGAGCTTGGGCTCGGGCGTACCGCATTTTGTGGCCAGAGATGCCACCTTCGGGGCGGTCCTTCACGATCAGACCTTTGGAGTCCACCATCCAGATACGCTGGCGGGCTTCGTCCAGGCTGGCGCCCTCTTGCATCATGGCCATGACGCAGAGGTCTGCAATTCCAATGGCTGCCTCACCAGCACCCTAGAATTAGTAACTTCATCATTAATCTTAATTTATAAATTATTTATAATATAACATATGCATTTATATGTTAATAATTAATAGCAACCAAAGAAGCACCGAGTTTATGGTTTTAAGCAAAAAAAGCTGTTTATAAATCAATTTTTCTTTGCTCTTAAATTATTTCAATTTTTAAAATATCTTTAATATGAAAATACACGAATAAAAATATTTAAAACTTTATTTTTATTTTGTTAAATAAATTATTATGTTGTAAATTTTATTAGTTATCGTTTTTTTCTCATTCATCCTTCATATGTATAAACCTGAACAAAGCAAAAAATGTATTGTACCTGGAAGACAAAAGTGTTTTCCTTCAGTTTTGTGCGCGTCACGCGAAGGGAGGCCAACAGCCCGGCAACAGCGACCGAGGCAGTGCCCTGAATGTCGTCGTTGAAGGTGCAGTACTGGTTGCGGTACTTTTCCAGAAAGCGGAAGGCGTTGTGGTTGCCGAAGTCTTCGAACTGGATCAAAGTATTCTGGCCGTAACGCCGCACCACCGCCTGCATAAATTCCTCGATGAACTCGTCGTACTCGGTGCCTGTAACGCGTTTCTGCCGCAGACCGATGTACAATGGGTCGTCCAAAAGGCTCTGACGATTTCATAATAAACATATAATTTTGAAAGGCGCTTACAAAACATGGTCAAAAAATTAAAAAAGTTTACGTTTGAAAATCTATTTTTAAATTAGAATTTTTTTATCTTTCATTGGTAATTATAGGTTTTTTTTGCATTCAGAATCTTCTAATAAGATTTAATTTGGATCAAAATATTGGTCTTAAAATAATAATTCACAGCAAAAATTCATTTTTAATTAGAGTTTTAGTTGAAAAAAAACTTCTGAAACAGATGCACAAGATTTTTTAACTCACTTGGATATTTGTGCCAACGTCAAGGGTGATGGGCAAGCATTGGTGCGGCTTAATTCCCGCCAGGGCGGTGTACAAGGCCATTTTTCCCACAGGGATGCCCATTCCGTAGGCGCCCAGGTCACCGAGGCCAAGAATTCTTTCACCGTCGGTGACCACGATGGCTCGGACGTCGGACTCGGGCCAGTTTCGCAGCACGTCGTACACGTGGCCCTTGTCGTGAATGGTGATGAAGAGGCCGCGGGGTCGTCTGTAGACGAGACCAAACTTTTGGCACGCCAATCCCACCGTCGGCGTGTACACGATGGGCATCATTTCTTCAACATTTTCGGAGAGAAGGCGGTAGAAGAGGTGCTCATTACGATCCTATATGATGAAATTAAAAAATTCAAAAATAAATGAGAAGAGAAAATAATTTTAACTATTATGAGGGTTGATTAAAATTAAAATTTAATTGAAATTGGGATCATTTAGCTTCTTGGTATTACGCACAATTTAATTAAAAACTGCAATGCACAATATAAACGTATTTCTAAGTGAAAATGTGAAGGTGGATATTCATGGTATTTTTATTGATATTTATCACATTATATCGATTTATTTCCTGTTATTTTCACCTTCATTCACTTTTGTTCAATGGTTTAAGAAAATAACACATTAAGAAGCTGTTGAAAAATTTAAGAATTCGTCGTATCAAGGTCGAAAGCAGAGTAATTATTATGCAAAACTATTCGAGACCTTATCAGATGAATATACAGCTTGATAAATCAATGTTTTGAACATCTCGAAAGTGGGCTCAATGCTCATGCAGACAAACAGCAGAAGTAACAGTTTTGTTTGTCAATCAGATCTAATGCATTTATTGCCCTTTAATAACAGGATTCATAACCATGATGATTCTCAGAAACAAAAAAAACATAATCACTGCTTTCTACGCCAATTACGAGATGATTTCTCCAGCTAATTTGCTCTCAGAGCATCGACAAAAATCTCTACAAACAAAACACGTGTCCTGCAGTCATATTTGAAAAGCGATAAACACTTAATTCAAGGTTTCTCAGGCCGACCGTAACCATAAATTACGTGAGTCACCAAATCATATCAGAGGAAACTAAAACACTTAAAATTTCCTAACCGTAAAGTGGAGCGACTTCCTTAATAATTGGACGTTGAGATTAAATATCCTTATGAAAATTAACAATAGAAAGCATCTCGGCCAGCTGCGAGTGGGGCCATGTGTGTTTGGTTGCACAAAACTAATCAATCAATCAATCAGGCTGCATTAATAAACAACCGCATAACTGTTGCACCACCTGGCAGAAAGTAAAATGCAACAAAAAAATGAAACGATCTTTAATAACAAAAATTTATAATCGAGGCAGGAAAACGCCGACGGTGGCTTTTGAAACAGATTAAATTTGCGGTTTTGAAACCGACTGTGCGTAAAGTGAGAGTTGAAAATGGGAATTTTCATGTTATTACCTGCAAGCCAGTAAGGTAGATGTACTTGTTGAGGTCCTCGGAGTATCTATCAACGCTCAATTTGCATAATTCCAACTGCTCCTCTTGGGTTTTGAAGCGAGGGGGCAGCAGGCCGTGGATTCCGAGCGCCTGCCTTTCCTCCAGGGTGAAAGCCATGCCCTGAAAATTGAATTTTAATTAGGCACTTTGAACGAGTTTTAATTAAAATTTGCATGCGCTTTGCATGAAAAGCTCCGACAATGACAGATTAGTTTCTTCTGGCAATTATCTTATTCAAATTTTCTGTGCACTTGAGTTTAAAGGAAATGAGATTTGAGATTTCTTTGTTCGTGAAGGGAGTTTCTAGAAATTTCCAAATAACATGTGTACTGTTTGTCAAATTTAACGCCGACATTCTCTGCGGCGAATGTTATATTTCGGCTGCTTCGTATCTGGTAAAAACCACATTAAATATCAGTTAAAGAAAAGTAAAAGTTAAAAGTAGATTAAGAGAGACAATTTACTCTTGACGAGGAGTTTGTAATTCAAAGGTTACCAGCAATGCTTTTTCTCGCTGAAGAAATGTGTTAAATAAATGCAAGTAAAACAGGCCAAATATAATGGACTTCACCAATTCCCAGCTGACAAATATATAAAGTAGCTTCTTTTGGTTTCCCTATTATACACTAGTGCAGCTGCTTTAAATTAAAACAAAACTTGTCCATATTTTGCAAATAGAATAATTATTTAAAATTATATATTATTGACTCTATTTTATCTATTCTTCCCAGTTTATTTGTCTCCAAAATTTTCTATGATTATGATTTTTTATTTATTGTTAACAAAATTTAACTCCTATAGCAATGGAATCTTAAAACAAATTTGAAAAGTATTGTTAAAATTAAGCTCACCACGCCATCCATTTCAAAAAGTCCCTCAACAAAAATGTCCCTGCGCGCCCTCGTGGGCTGCAGAGCCCCGATGCGCTCCCAGTCCGAGTCCATCTCATATCGGTGCCTGGCCCCGAGTGATCCGAATCACCCCCGGCACCGCGACCAACCCCGCGAACGAGAGCGCACCCTCGCGTGACTTCATTTATTTTCTCAACCTCAAACTCGTCCGACGAAAATCAATTTCTGCGAGAGGGCGATTCAACCATTATTCATGAGCGAATAAAAAATAGAACACGGCCGAAAATAGAGAAGAACTTCGGATGCAAATCGCGTTCGGGCGACACGACGACGCGCGAGAAGGGTTAAACAGCACGGTGAACTCGGCCACTTAAACGCTCTCAACTCACTTCCTACTTAAGCGAGCGAGGCCCGAAAATGGTGCCATTATTAAGCGTATGTAATTTTGCATACACGCATCAGATAGCGAAATTTCCATATGGAGCGCGAGAAGGCGTAAATCTCATTCTTTGTCATGCAAAATGCTCATTACGCATGCACCGCACGTGCTAATTAGGCATTTGGATTTATATGTATTATGTAAATCTCAGGGATATTTCATCCCTAATTATGTGGAATTATAATGGCTTTCTCCCTGGAAAATCTATCGATCGCTACATTCCGTCAAAACTCTGGTCTCTGCTGACAAAAAGGGAAATGTAAACGCGAGAAACTTTTCTAATTAAAGTTATCCTCAGATATCCATCAGATCTTTCGAAAGTAATACCACCTCGCAGAGCTTGATAATTCTAAAATTCTCATATATAAAATTTCCATCTTATAAAATTCATCAGATTTGCAGACACGAAAAAAAAATGATTATGTGAGTTTTGATAAAAATTTTATCAGTTTATAGTTTTATGGTATAGTTTCAAATTTGATAAAGCAATGCAAAGAAAAAAATTATTTCCTCAGTTATGTAAGAGATTGTTAATGAGCTTAGAAATAATTTTTAGTAAGGAAAGACCCAGTATTAAAATTAATTTTTGTTCCGTTAAATTTGGCTATTATTTGATTGCATTAGCAGCTCTGTTATCATATTTAATTTTAAATCTTTTAAACAAACAATGTAACAGCTTTGCGTTATTTAACGAATCATGAAAAAAAAATAGATCGTCCTAACAATTATTTGTATTATTCAGCTATTTTTGGATTAGTGAAGTACGTAAAGCACACAAGTTCAAATCCCATTACAAATAAAACTATAACATTGAACGTTTCCAAAAACAAAAACTATAGGAGAATATGGTTTCAATTACATTTAATTGACATTTAATTTATATAATTATTATTTTTTCCCTTTTTGTTCCAATTTTAAAATTTAATTGCATTTAAATAAAAGGAAAAATTAGACTAGCTAACATTAGCAAAAATAAAAATTTAAAATTATAAGTAAATTATAAATTAAATTATTTATAATTTTTCTTCTCTTAAGCAGATTAAATCTAATCACAATTTGAATTTATTGGAATTTATGATCCATGTATTTAGATATGGGCAGTGATTGCCTCTGTGCTGAGAAATATAAATTAATAATTCATTTGCAACCAAAATAAATAAATCTCGCAAAAGAAGTTGTAAAAATTCTAACAACTTTATGAACATGTCGTTACTCCACTTTTTTTCTTTGTAAATATATTCTCGATGTAAACACGTCAGTCACTTTATTATTCCTGCTCCTCGTCACTTCTTCTACTTCATGAATTTTATCTCACGCCGTTTCAGCGCTCATAAGGCCTGTCTGCTGCTGTTACTCAAAAGTGTGCTCGAGTTGCAAAAGCTACTACTTGGTACACATAAAAAGTGACACTTGCTCGGAGTATGCAAAAAAGGAGATGCATTCCTGTTCATGGAAAATAATGTATTCCCTCGCCGCCAGCCGCACACGGCGAACCTCTTTTGTTGTGCAGCCAAGGGAATTTTTCTTCTGCGAGAAAAAAAGGCTCTCGCTTTTGCCCGGCGGGAAATTTTTGCTCATCGACTTTGCAATTAAAAAGAGAGAGAAAGAAAGCGCAAATATTTTAAAAAGATAATCACCGGCGTTGGCTAATTATCTTAATTAAATTTCCTTCAACAAGGAGCCAATTTAACAAGCGTGAAATTACACAGAACATGCATTAGTTCATTTTTTTATTGCAACAGGTTTGCGTGTTTTAATTTAACGGTCTGAATTCCAGATGCTATAATAACTGTGCTTCGGCGCTCAATAACTTTTCTATAGCAACCGACGCAAAATACTGAGTTGAAAAGACGCGTGTCTCTGCAACTGAACGTATTATTGTTTTGTTTACGGAACGAAGTTACGTAAAACAGTTCAAACACACATTTATTTTTTATGTGCGCGTATTACTGTTGCATTCGCGAATTTTGACGTCACTCTGATAAGGAAATGGCAACGCGAAAATTGATCTACGAAGCAACTTTTTTAAATAGGATCAATGATTGAGTGGTATAACAAAAGCTGAATGAATTAATCCATGACATTGCACAGCGAATTATTGGTAAATTTTCTAGCCAACAGCAGGCAAGGGAAACAGCTGAATTCATACATTTTTCAGTTGAGTTTTATAAAATAACGAATTATTTTGGAATTTAAGAAATTGATGAGTAATAGTAAAATTAATTCAAGAATTAAGCGAAAATACAAATTTTTCAATTTTAATTCAAAAGAAGAGATTTTAAAATATCTTTATTTTTAGATGAGCTAAAAATTTTATCACTGTATATCAACGTATCACAAAAAGATTGTCATTTTTAACAAAATATAAGCAATTACGATTTGTGTGTGAGCTATTGACAAAATTGACAATCTTTAACAGCATTAAATTCTAAGTATAATGAAGATATTCTACATATTTCTTTATTAGAGCAAAAATTTTTTAATAAAATTGGCATTGCTGGCATTGACATGATCTATTTTGAAATTTAAATTAGACCTTTTATAATATATTATGATATGAAAGAATTTGATTATTTAATATTGGTGTGAAAAGTGGAGCAAAAATAATAATAATAATAATAATAATAAACAGAAGAAGACTACGAGGAACATGAACATGGCATTTTTTTTTATCAATTATAGGCACATTTTATACACAGTTTGAAAATAAATAAAAGCAATATGCGCAAAGTTACAAAATAAGAATACGCTTTGTTTTTAATTATATTGAGGATAATTATACATAGGGTAATATCCAAAAATAATTTTTCATTTCAATTGGTGTCTCTCAGATTATCTTGGAGGAACTTTTATTAAAATATTTTTTATTTGTCTAATTTAAAAACCAATTGCTGGCAAAAAGTTTACAACTGGGCAATTTCAATTATTGCTCGGGAGAGTGAATGGAACCTTGATTTTGAGCTAGGTCTATTTTACGTCAGTTGCATCAACACCGAAACCAGATTAAAAACTCGCGAGTTTGCTCTTTTTAAAGCCGGCAAATTGAATAATCCGAAAATAGCCAATTCAAGGAAAGCGAGAAAGAAAGTTTACAATAAAAGCTGCCCGCATGGCCTATTGCGGCGGTTCTGTTTGCGAAAATCAATACTCTGCCAGAACCTCCATTTTCGAAACAAAAAAATCACTTTTGCAATTCTTGAGTGCATTCAAAATAGACAAATCTTATCGCGAATGGCGCGACTGCCGGCGTAAATAAAAAAAAGAGTTGCGCCAAGGTCAGTTGGCAGTGGCACCACCGGACGCGGATTGGTGCTCGAGCCGGCCGAGCCTGGCACACAAGCAAAAACCCAGACCTACCTTATTGAGGTGCGGGTCACGGAGGCGGTCAATGCCGCGCACCAGGCCCGGACACGTGTCGTCCTGGCCGTCGGACGGCTTGGTGTGCAGCGGCCGCTGGCCGAGCCGGTCTCTCTGCAGGTCTCCCATCGGTGCTTTCACGGTGCAGCCAAGAGTGCGACTGCCTCCATCGGCGGCCCAGCTGCGGCAAATATAGCCAAGATTAGCGCAAGCGCCACCGTCGCGAGACACCTCGCGGTTTTTCAAAATCTCACGCGCCCACCACCAGACCCCTGAGCGTTTGCTGACTCACTTTTACAATTGATTCATATCAATATCTCCGTGCTCTGGTTGCAGACAATTATCTTTTGATTTGAGTGGAAACGTGTTTATGAGAGAATCATATTCGAGCGGTGGACTTTCAGCTACAGATTTTGTACGCCATGTAAGGCGGTCTCAGTAAAGTTGTTAATATAGTTATTTTAAACTATTATTTTAATTTTTTTATCATTCTTCATTAATTGATATAATATTTCATTATTTTAATTTTTAAATTATCAATAAAATATTAAACTTATATATTTATTAAAAAAAGGTGTCCTTGATTTTTTGATTTAAATTTTAAAAATATAAATATCGTTAATTCAAAATTGCTTGTGTAATGGAAAACTTAAATATTTTTGTACTTATTAAAAATTCAGAAGGCTTTATGCAGAAAGAAAACTTCTATTGAAACATCTGAAAACATCATTAATTTTGGGTTTTAGACTCGGGGCAAAAGTTAATAATTAATTTAATTTATTATCGTTTATAAATATTAATAATTAAAACGTTCTTTCAATTATATCAAGAATGCACATAACAGGCACGTAAAAAGCAGAGAAGGATTTTATTTACTAACCATAAATAGCTTTTACTAGGAATTTATTTATTATTTATTAAGAATTTTGATCGTTGAATCAATTGAGTTTTTCAGTAAATATTTATGAAATTTTCAAAATTTTCAGATTGTAACCAACTCTAGTTTTTAAAGCCTCTTTTTTCGGAGGAGATTGTGAAATATGCAATATTATTCCTGAAAATTTAAAAATTAAATTTGATAATATATAGGGGAAATGAGATTTAATCAGTTTTTAATCTTTTAAACTAAAAGCACCCATTTCTGCAACAAATTTAAATGCATCAAATACAGGAAATTTATATGCTTCTATTTCAATTGAACATTATACAACTTTTTAAATATGTTGTAAGATGTGGATATTTCTTCTTCGCAATGCATTACCCGGTTTTATGCAGATAAAGCATCCTGTTAATTACGCTTACGTAAAACCCATGACCTTGAATATAAAAGTGCACCGTCGTCAGTCATATACCACATAATGCTCATATATATTCGCAGAGGTGGGGAAAAACAGGTGACGGAGAAAAGAAGAAAATGAGAATAAGTTTTTCTCTCAACTTATACCATAGCAAACGCGTCAGAATTATACCCAAGGGTCTGAATGGAGCAGCTAGCGTTGAAATATAAAAACTTAAAAAGGCCAGGGCAGGTCCGAAGGGCAGTCGTGAGAGTCTGAAAAGGCTGAAAGAGTTGGAAAACATGTTGTATAAATAACGCACCTGAGACACCTGCGGCGGAACAGGAGCAAGGAACGCATGGCGACGAGATCTGAATGTGTATGTGGGTGAGCAGGCGAATAGCGCGAGATAGACTGGCTCGGACTACACTGTGACTTCAATTAGCACCGATTTCACCAAGAGGTGCGACGCATTGTTTTAGCACGCTGCAGGACACCGTTGCGTCGCACCACTCGAACTTTTCGACACTGCTTTTGCGAAAAGGCACACAAAATTAATTCTGTCTGCACTGCTGTGCGGTGACGGCGAAGATCGCTAAAGCGGCGAGGAAAAATCGAGACTTGCGAAAATGCACACCTGAAACCATAAAAGAGCTACCCGCTCGAGATTTTTTCTGTGGTTAAAAATTTTGGAGACAGACTGATTGTGAGTGAGAAAAAAGACTTCCAAGAAAATGAAGAAAACCGGTAAAAGTGGGCACAGAAGGCAATTTTGTGACACCAAAATTTAAATTTCCAGAATTGAAAACGATATAAAGTAAATATTAACATGGCTCAGAGTTTAAGCAAGGTTTTAATTCCTGCACACAAGGCCTTGCTAAACCCAATATTTCAACAATGATAAAAAGTAGCACACATTTTTACACATCTTTTTAATATTTCCTATAATTTCCTATACGATTTTTTTCTAATCAACTCCTACTTTTTATAATGATCCAAAATAATAATGTCTAATGCTGAGAAATTTGTAAAATGTATGGGAAAAACACTCAAAAATGTTTTTTAATGAGAAAGAAAAAAAGGTGTTTAAGTTCCTTAACATTTAGAGTTTTGAGGAAAAAGGCCTTTATAAAATTTAATATAAATCAATGCTACTAAGAGGATTGTAAATTCAGTAAAAAATTCTAGAATAACTTGATTTTTTTTTTAATTTTAATAAATTAATTTCAACAATTTTTTTATGCTATGGTTAATGAATTGTGGGATTATTATGTTGATTCTTTTGTTGTCGCCAAGTGATGTATCGTTTTAAAAAAATTCAGACGCGAAAATTCAAAGATCAACCTTACAAACTTCTTAGAATTTTTAATAATAAATAAATTTAATAATAAATAATTCAATTTTAAATTCTACAGCCAAGCCAATCTTCCTTTATAAGAAAGCTCCAAAAAAGATTGTTATTTCGCTTTTAGAAACAATGGTGCTGTTTGCATTCAGTTTTTCTGATTGCGAGTGAGTTTGTATTTTATTATTATATAGGCCGCCGGGTAAGTTTATAAATTACACTCAATTATCTCGGCTGTTAGTTTGTGCTCCACATGTATAACAATTATAATTATATTCAAATCCCAATGCGAAACAATGATCTCACGTGCAATCGGATCGAAGGTTGAGCGTTTCATTTTTAATTTATCTTAATGACTGCAATATCTCACTCCTCGAATCTCGCACTCAATCTGCCGCAGACGGAGAAAACAACAAACTCTGCGGTACATAAGTTTGGTGCATGCTTCAGAGTTCAGACAGACAAACACTCGAAGGAAGTTTTTGCTTACAGCAGAGATTGCTGAGCAATTTTATAAATAGATGTGACCTTACCAGGTGTGCGTCTTAGTACAATTTTAATCGTCAAAAATGCTTTCGTATTTCTATTTTTCTAATTAAGTATCAAATAAGCCATAAATCTTTACTAGTTTTTTATATAGCTGAATATGTACACAAAAATATACATACATTTAAACAAGATTTAAATTTAATTTTAAATTTATTAACTTTCGCACAACACGATATTGTGTATGGTTATGTTTCAAACTTTTTTTTAGTTTAAATTTCAATCCAATAATGCTGTAAAATTATTTCTTTTATTCTTTTAAAATAAAAATTTACTTATTTCCACTAAATTTATTAATAAACCAAGTTTTGTTACAATTTTTTTTTTATATATTTTGAAAGTAAATATACTAATTTTTATATTTGGTTTTTGTAACAAACTTATGTTCCGACCCTTCCGCCCATTTTTCATCATTTACTGAAAGCTCGCCTGTGCCAAGCGGATCCAATCGATAAGTTGGAAATATGCTATCTTTAAAATTAATCACTTCAAAGCACTTAGCAACATCCAAGTTTTTGGGATGGTAGCCAACTTCGCTTTTCCGTCTTACAACAGAAAGTTTTGCACTTAAAAATTTGGCTTGCAATAATTTCGCCTGCATATTTATTTTTACTGGCTTCCCTTTCAAATATTGCAACAATCAATCAAAAATAATTAAAGTTTTTATGATCTTTAAAAACATTTTCTGAAATTAAAACACAAATATTATCAAGAATTTATAGTTATGAACATGAAAAGATAAATATTATATGACTTTTTTAAGTTTTTAACTTTTGTGACTTAATTAAAGTGTTTGAATTCAGATGTAGAAATACAACTTATCTAATTCCATCTGCTGCATAATTATTTCTAGAATCACAATATTACTAAAACCGGAGTTTCATTTTAGATTGCAATATCGGAAATATCTATATCATTCAAAATTGAGACAAATCTCGTCGATAGAAAACGATTCACTGCAAATAATGTCCACTGGTGGCGACAAATCTTGCAGACAACCTGCCGACTGTCTGCGGCAGGTAAAAAACGGGCAAAGCTCGTGGGGATGAAGTTGGAGGGTGACACCTTATTACCAAACATGACCACAGAGACTCCCTTTACGCGATCGGAACCGAATAAATCAGCCGGCAATAATGATATCGAGGGAGAGCAAGAGTGCCTCTCCTTTGCAGTGATTTATGGCCACGCAGAGCAACAAGTGTGTTCCTCTTTTGCTCCATTAATAAAAGCCTTAACACTTGTGTTGGGTCCAAATGAATGGGGGTCTCATCAGAGCCGGAGGCGTTTTCCTAGTGTCCGGGTGTTTGTTTGCGGCACAAAAGTGCAAATCACGCCGGCCTTGGCCGCCCGAATCGAGAGCTCGAGTGCGTCACTTCACGTGCAATTAGCCCGACGACACGGTTTCGGGGGTGGCTCGGGGGTGGATCACGAGGGTGGCACGCCAGCCGAACGTGCTCGACTCCTGCTCCACTAAGAATCAATGTTTTTCGGGGGCTTCCTAGCGCGGAGATTAATGAATTAAACCGGCGAATAATAAAAAGTGAGTAAAAAAACGCGGTTGCTTTTTGCTGCGGGGGACAAATTGGCCAATTGAGCAAAAAGTATTCGGTCGTTTTTCACTCTCTCGGACTCTCGGCTATCTTTGCCAAGGCTCTTCCGTAATCGCGCTGCCATGCCTGGCAATTTTCCATCTTTTCTAGCCAACAGAGTTTGGCTCTTCTTTTTCAATAATGCACACCGTTTTGCTTGGAAAAAGCTGCTTATTGCATTTTATTGAGGTCCGATCAGCTGCTCGATTATTGCAGTTCAGACTTTTCGTTGTTTCTCCCATCAGAGAGCTAGAAATCACTTTCTCATGATGAATTTGGCGGAATTTTTTTTTTAAGGAGAATTAATACTTTTCTCTCTATACTATTAATTTTATTTGCACGCGAATGAAAGTACTCGTGCTGCAAAACAGCTACTGACGACTTATATTTTAGGATTTTGTGGAGCTTTCAATCTAACAAGTCAGCTTGTAATTTTTAAATTATTTCCGATATAATTAGATAATGTATTGGTCTATTAAAGAGGCTGAAGAGCCTCATCACTGACTGTAGAGATTATAAACTAACTGATTCATGATCAGTATAATGTGATTTATTTTATTAAAATCATTAAAATACACCTTTCATAAGCAACCAAATATAATGTGTGCTTAATATCTAACGACAATTATAAAAAGTTTACAGTTAAATTTGAAAAGACATATTTAATAATTAAAAAAAAAAATGTTTTTAATTGTATGAAGCAAAATAATTGTTAAAATTAAGTTTTATAATAACATTATATTCTAACAAGAATATTTACATATAATACATGTAGTGGTTAATTTTATTTAAACCATAAACTATTAACCAAATTTTGAAGCCTCGAAACCCTCCGTTAGCTGCTAAAACCTACATTAAAATTTATCTTATTGTCTTCATTGCTATCACTATCATATTGGGCAAATAAGTTTGTCTTTCATTTCAAATAATTATATGTTTATAGGGTTTAAACGATATGAAAGAGCCCCTGTAATGAGTAACGAGAATGACCCAAACAACATAACTCGCAACAATCTTATTGATTGTCAACATTCCTTAAATTTCTCACTCGCAAACGTTAAAAAGTGTATTAATTGTTGGGCCCTGCGAGAAGCGAAGATACGTCACCTCCTCTACGAAGGCCACCACCTGCACCAAAAGCGGTGTGCACTTTTCTTGAGGTCCACTGTAAGTGTCCCAGGTGTTCAAGCAGCGCAAATGGTAATTATCGAAATAGAAAGTGGCGCGCCAGGGCGTTTACCTTCCTGACCTGGTTTCACTCTCGGACGAGAAAGGAGCAGCTCCGTTTAATGTGATAATGGTGGCTTGTCACTGGATCTTTGTACTTTGCTTGCTTGTCAAGATCAATTCGGTTTTCATTGAATAATAAGGCGGGCCAAGTTTCAATATCCGTCGGCGGGAGGCGCGCAAGTTATATATCCTTAGGCCGGTTTTGTTTCCGAGACGCGAGAATCCTCTGGGGGGTTTTGTGTACACGTTTGACGGGTCCAATTAGCTTAATTAATTGCCACGCGGGAATGATTTAAGCACTTGATTGTGATTAATTATGCTTTCAAAAGATGTTCCGAGCACGCTGCTAATTTCAGCTAATGGTGCAGCGCCCTGTTTATAATATACACAAGCGAGATCGATTTGGCATTGTTTCGCACGATCTAAATATTATGATAAACGCTTGCAGCGACGGACAACAAAGTTTCCAGCGTAAATCGCTCCCATCAAATATTTGACTGGTACACATATTATCTACCGTTAATATGATTTCATCAGATTTTTATGTCAAATATTAAACTATTAATACATCAGAGAGAATTGTTTCAAGAAATTCACATTATCTTTATACTTTAAATAATTATTTTATGTTATTTTCTATTTTCCATCAAATACGTAATATCTGAATGAGAGACTAATTATGAAAGTAGCGGTACATACTCGTTGTCAATTGATGTTTTTCAGGCGGTTTGTAGAAAAACTGTTTTATACTGTATCTGTAAATCACTGTAAAGTAAATTATTTTTTATTAAGTATTCTGACCAAGCTGCTACCATGGCAAGCTTAGAAAAAAAATATTGTACCATCATTATGTAAGAATCATGTGTATATTTTTTTTTAATTTGACCCAAATCAAATAATATTACCATTCTATTGTCCACTATCCAGGATCACAAATTTTTAGTAAAAATTTAGTGTTTGAAATTCAAATATTGGAAAATTAATGGAGTGAACTATAACACAAACTTTGTGGCATTTTTTTTTTACAGTAATTACTTATTTATCAAAGTTTATCTGGGCAAAGTTGAAAAAAAAATTATAAAAAAAAATATCTTAGAATCTAATATAATTATTGTCTAATGAGTTAATGCTAAATTTCAATCTTATTGTAGTTTGTAGTAAATGAATTTACACATTATGCTAACTAATTAATCCATACAGTGAATTTATAAGCACAAACTATTTGCAGTTAATTGGATCTAACTAAAAATAAACTCAAATATTATAATTATACAAAATTCAATATTGTATAATTATAATTATACAATTGAATATTTTAAGACTTTGCATACATAGTTTAATTTGAAAATTAATAAAATTATAGTGCAGAATATAGTTGCATTTTTAACGCTATTAGCATCAGCCATCCCATTAATGTGCATAACTGATGTGTCAAGCCAAGAGATGAGTCGCGAGAGAAGAAACCAGAAGCTGCGATGCCAATTACGCAACTTGCGCTCGTTTGCAAGATATTCGCAGTGCTGCATGTAACTCGATAAGCACCGCGGCGAACTCGAGCGATGATTTAAACTCGGAGGAAAAACGAGTTAAGCAACTTATTATTCTCTCTCGAGCTGCGGAGCAATTACGCGGGCCGTCGTCAAAATGCTGGAGAGGATTTGCTCCTCTCAAGCTGTAATTAAATCCGCGGCTGCTCGATTTTAGCTCTACGTACTCGCAATCAGCTGCAATCAGATGGGCAATACATCACTTATTTTAATCAGAGCGAGCAGCCATGAGTTTGTACAAAGAATGAAGCGTTCTCTATTACGCCTAATTTATTCATCGATTCGTGCAAGATTGGCCTCACGCTTTGAACAATTATTAATTGCACACTTCTATTTTAATACAGGTTAAAGAAAGTTCAGCACTTTTTGCTTCGTCGTTGTTACATGTACGATTAATGGCAATTTATCGGTTTTTAGTTTTTAATGAAAATATAGCTCGGTGAACTTTCATATCTGATTGAGTTAATTATGTATTGTGAACGTGTGAGTTGAAGTAATCCTGAAACACGTTTTTGTGTCTCAAAGTAGAGAATAATTTTTAAAATATCCTCTAACTTTAAACTAGTTATTATTAAAGTCCACTGAAAATAATTGTTATTGAAGTAAAAAGTTTCATAAAAAGCATTATAAATAACAAACGTTATAATTTTAAGCACAGAAATTTACTGATTTTTTTAATTCATGATAACCCCTGAAATATTTTCCTTCTTTTAATCTACTTTGAATCCTTCAAAATAACACTTCATTCTTTCAAAACATTGCTTTTTTCCACAAACACCGAGTTAGTCCTTGGCAGTTTCTCAATTCTTAATACAGAAATTAGAAATTTTTACACGCAAACAAACCAAGATTTAAGGAGCTGTTATTTGTAAGCATGACTTTTGAACAAAATAACGAAGAAACATTGACAAGATGTAAAGAAAATACAAACGAGTGTTCCGCTCCATCTTTCATAAAAATAAATAAGAAGCAATTCCTCCTTTTATTTTGCAAAAAGAAAAGCATCGTGGCAATTGTGAACGTTTCGGCTCAGCAAACAATGCCATCGACGTCAAGAGCGGTACGAATTTAGCGACGAACATTTTCCATCCATCGTCAAATTGCGAATTTTTCGCACACTTCACTAGAGCGTGTGTTGTGAATTTTTTTCTCTCGCCGCGCGCGTTTTGCGGCACCATCACCGGTAATAGTGGCGCGCCAGTGATGCTTTATTAATGTTTGCGTCATCATTTTTCTTGATATGCATCATTCTCGATTGTCACACTGCGGATGAAAAATTGCCCAGTGTGTAAAGCTCCGGTTCTTTTTTCTCGTTTGACTTGAGACATAGTAATTTCCTGCCTCCTGTCGCAAATAACAATTTTTAATTGAAGATTTAAAATAATTATTTAGGGTTTTTTGCATCCAGAACAAGATTTTTTTTAGAATTAATTACATGAATTTGGTTATATTTTACATAATAACTTTAAAAAATTAATTTCCATTTTATGTGAATTTAGAAGTTTAAAATATGCAATAATATTAACGTTATAAGGTTGTATAAATTTTAATGTTATTTATAGTAAAAAATATTTGATATTTTTGTCTAGTGTTTATTATTCTTATTATAATTAATTAACAATGATCCCAGGATGACTTGTTTCCTTTTCTTAATGTTATTTAAATCAAAGGATATTCCTAAAAATAATAATTAGTATAAGTATAAATTTATACAAAATACTGCACTAGTAAAATGAGATGATACCCACATACGCAGTTGATATGGATTGTAGTGAACAGTGAACCCAAACATTATAATATTATCTAGTAAAAAGTTAAGTTTAAAAATAAATAGTTTTGGTTGGGTTCGAGTAAACATTTATTTCTTGTAATCATAAATTTGGAATTTTTATTTCAGTTTTGATTGTTATTTTTTATTTTTAAGAAACTTCTCAATATTATGTATTCAATGTGATTATGTTCTAATCTGTTAAGGCCATCATTTTGTATTTAAATCTAAAAAATGTCACTCTTTTAAGTTCAGAGTTCGTTTTCGCCGTAGTGGCGAATCAGCTACCAAGTCACGGCCCACATTTTTTTCATTCAGGAGACGAAGTGCCCCAAGTGAAAAATTATCAGTGACCCTGTTCGTCTCCTGAGTTGTTCCGAGATGCGCAGAAATAAGGGCGAGCCCATTTTATTTTTTACTATTGGCCTGCCGTAAAGAACCGACACACAGATGCTATTTGCTTTTATGGAGTCTCGGGATAGAAAATCATCGTCGTTGCAGCAAAGGTCGCCGTTAATTTACCTGCCTTATCAGAGTGAGACGACGTTTTATTATCTTATTCCTGAGTAGTGGGCTGATGAGATTGCGGAATTTAAAACTTTTTATTTCCCCGCGTGTCATCAAAGGCTTTTGTCCTGCGATCTCGGTCCAACCGTATTTCTCTTTTATGGGAATCGCGTCGCAATGGGGAGACGGATGAACGCGGACCGAGCTTTTCTCAGATTTAAAACACAGATCTATCTCTCGTTCCACTCGGCTATTTCTTCATTCCACTTCATTCGCCTCTTTAATCTTGAAGGAGACTGGAAAGACTTTCTTAAGTCTCAGTTGGTGATTTTGTACTCGTGAATTCTTAAGAAATAAATACATTTTTATGAAAAGCTAATCCAGATAAAAAAAATATATATATATATATATATATATATATATATATATATATATATATATATATATATATATATATATATATATTGTAAGTGAATTTATCAAAATAAATGTCCCTACACAGTCTCCTTTCCGAGTTTTTTTTTTTTTTTATTGTTGCTAGAGATCTCAGATTTATTAGCTTAAATTTTTGCTGACGCAAATAATAAGTATTTTACAATATCAATACATCAAAAGATTATAACATTGTCTCTTAATGAAATGGCCCTATTTGTGATTTCAGAAAATATTTATTAGTTTTACCACTAAAATTTAACGTTGCACTTTGGTTGCAAAATAAGCGTGCTCCGTTTTTATTTGACGATAACAGAAAAAATGTGTTCATCAAGAAAAGAATTTGCAGGGACATAACTCAGATAAGAAAGATTAAATTGTTGTTTATTTCTGGAGATAGCAAATTTAATAATTTCAAATGATTCGTGTACGTTTTATTAAACTTATTATTTTGAAGTGCATTACAAAATAATAAAACACCAAAACTATCAATACAATTTTTTAAAACCTATAGAAAATTTTTTATAGTTTTAAAAATTTATTCAAAAGCTTGTTAAAAGTATGTTTATGATAATTATCTAAGCTAACAATAAAAATAATACATTAACTATAATGCACTCAAATGCTATAGAGTGACGACATTATTGTATGCAACTTGTTATGCACTTGTGTGCAGCAGGCTGCCTAAGTAAAAAATTGTGCTGCATCAAGTAATGCTCCATCAAGTTCTGAAAGTGTTTCATTAATCCATCATTTTCCTTGTCTTTTATCAAATTTTTAAACTTAAAATAAAATAATACATTTTTAGTTAACTGAAAGTTAAATCTTTTAGGAACACAAATAAAAAAAAAATTGAAAATAAAATATAACTTCTTATTATAGTTTCAACAGTGTTAAAGAATTCCACTTCAAAGAGATTAAGACACGACATGTGATAAACAAAGTTTATTAATTGAATAATTAATCCTGCAATTGAAATCAACAAGCTTTGAGGTTTATTGTGATTAGATTTGAGCGCGCCACAAACGTACCAATACCCTCGTCAAAAATAAAAACTCGAGCCCTGCGGCACACAAGCACGGCGAGTGTGTTGAACAAACAGTGGCGCGCCTCAATTAACGCCGCCGATATTGCCGGCATTTATGATAATAATTAACAAACACAGTTCACACACAACACGCGCCGCCAGCAGCGGCACCCTAATTTACATCGAACGTCCATGTATGTGCTGTGAGCGGGAAATTTCCTCGGGAACAAGCAATTAATAACGTTGGAGATCAATAAATTTGATAACAAGAAGCGCGCTAAATGATTGCTCCCGGCGGTGGTGCCTGTGATGATATAATTCCACCTCCTCTTGACCGCGCGCACCGGCCGAGTGAAAAGTTTTGTTTGCTCTCCGGAGATGTCGAGTGTTGGCCATTATTTATGATGCGCGCATCATCGTGTCTATGATAACTCTGTGGCTCGATTGCGAAATTATTTCATTTTATTTCGTTTTTACGGCCCCACGGTGGGCACTAAAACTCGGCCGCACACGACTGCTCACCCCTTTCGGATCGATTTTCATACACCGTGTCGCTCCTCGTCGCCTGCTGTTGTCCTCTCAAAATTCGCATTCGACTGCACTTCGGATTTTCGGGGGTGTCAAAATTGTAAAAATTCGCATACTTACGTAATCAATGCGACGAGACAAGCCAGAAAAATTGCGTCAATCACCAATTTTTTCACTGACATTCAGCGAAACGTCAACAGCCCCCTGGGGATGATCGGTTTAAACCGGTTAAGGTTTACCGATAGGGGATGAGGGTTGCTGAATTAGCCGAGAATCATAATGTATTTTCCGCCGGTTGTCACCGTCAAGTCAAACTTGTTTGCTGTTTATAGTAGAGCTTCTCTAAAAAGTCATGAGAGGCGCTTGAGGCGCGAGTCGAGCAGGTTGCATAAGTAAAAGGCATCCGGTGAGAAAAATACTAACGAGCTATTTATTTATTTTCATTCCTTGTCGCTTGTTGGTTGGCCTTTTTAGCTGTACATAGAGTCGCTTTTATCACATGATTTTTAAAATATCATATTTACAAAGTACTTGAGCGTTATAATCCGTAATTAAAAATGCAATTTTAATTAATTCGTCAATCGATCGCGCGCCGCGCCGCTGTCAGAATTATGTAATTTTTTTGCGTTCAATAATAATAATGTGTGAATCGATTGGATTATGAGAGTGCGTTGTCCGTTACATAATTGAAGTAGAGCTGCTGCGAGAGAAGTGTGAGTGATTGTGATCCCTTATCATTAGTAGAACGGGGCATTGAGCAAAAGGGCGGCCAGCAGCAAACACCCGGGCATCGCCTCATCTAAAATCAAACATTAGCATAGTGTCAGACCCTTTGTAGCTACATTTCAAATAAGGGATCTGCTTTGTAAAGCGGGGTTCAAATAATAATAATAACGTGGGCATTCAATTAACAATTCTGGACACAGCTGGCTGACCTGACTTCTCAAGAAATTTCCAAATTTGACTCCGTCATTAAAATTAAACTTTATTTTATGTGATGATTTTCATTTTAAATAATTTAATTTCAACTGATTAACTAATTCTAGTAATTATTTACTTTTATTTAATGCATTTTATTAATAAATTAATTGCTGTTGTGTACCAAAAAAATTCTAAACGTAATACATACTTTTCACTCGACTATTAAGAATAATAGTTTGGGTTTGGTGAAAGCGAATTAAAATTGTCTTATGGGCAAAAATATTATTCTGCTATTTATTTGATAAAATTAAATTCACATGAAATATGATTTAAATAAATATGTGTGCGCTCGTCTGATATGATATAACTCAAGTTAAAAAATCTGCTAATACTAAAAACAGAAATAATTGAAAAAATACCACCGGAGGACAATTCAATCAATTCTAATTAAAAACCGCCCTCGCTTCTGCGAAAGATAAACAATAAATATTGACGCTTTTGTTTACGTTCTGATTCCATTATCTCGGCAAAAAACGCCAAAGCACGGAAAGGGCTGGTTTCTACTCATCCCCTCTCGTTATGTGCAGTGAAACTTTGTTAACCCGTTCGCACGAATTATTCATCGCACGCGGAATTCTTTAGTGCGCCAGGTGGCTTGCGAGAGGCAAAATTCCTAATTTGCCTTTACGCCAAATGGAAACGGAGCGAGAGAGGATGAAAACGCGTGCGCTCCAAATTGCAGAGAGAGAGAGAGGGTTGCTAGTTAGTCCGTTCTTAGCGTTCGCCAAGTGCACCCTAGAGACCCAATACACAGCCAACATTACGGTCAAGGGCTCGGGATTTTTCTTTTGCAACTGAGTCTCTCTCGTCCGTTCACTCGCGCCTCTGATGAGACGATTAATTATTCAAAACGTCGTTTTCTTAATGTCCTCTATTAGTAAACCAAGATCCAATTAAAATTAATGTCCGCCTAGCAGACTTCTGTTGATTAATTAATTAAATTTTTTTTTTTTAAATTAATTAATTTTTTTAAATTTAATGGAATTGAAAATGCTGCCGGTGTCTCTATACTCGGCGACACATAATAATTAATCCATCGCAATCAACGAAATTGAACCGTCAATACTAATATATATCGCACTATGTTTGCTCTTGTTACTGTTCATGAGTTATTTTTTATTATTAATCAGAGGATAGGCAAAAAACTGCTTCTCTCTTATCCACGGTCTGCAGCACCGCGAGTGCATATCTCTCTCTCAGCAACTTTTCACCCTTTTGTTTGCAAATGCAGTGCCATTACCGCGATTGCTTTTTCTATATAATAAGAGCGAACGAAAAAATGGACAAACTGGTGCACTTTTGTGAGAGAATAAAAACCATCAGACGAGTCACAAAAAGAACAAACACCCCGAAACGGAAAAAAAGCCAAGAGAAAATGTATCCGGAAGAAATATTGCAGCAAAAAAGGGATAGAAAGTTTTTTTGCTTTAATAAATGGCGTTGGTAAGAGAAAATAGAGACAAATAAATTTTTGTGCTAAAATGTTTGCAGCAGGTTTGCAGTTGATTTAGTTTTAAATAATAATTACTATTAATGAGGACGGGGCTCCAAAATGTGCATAGTTTTAACTTTTGACCGAAGGCTATATTCATAACTGATTGTTGATTTTTATTTAAAATCATTTCAATAGAAGTTGAAATTGATGCTGTCAATTGTAGCCTAGGTTGTTTCAACAAAAAGAAACAATGAGTTATTATATTGTACCCTCCATTGTTTGACTTTTAAAATTTCACTCCATTTTCTCTATCCAAATGATATAGGATGTAATTCATTGCATGTATTTAAATTTTGCCTTGTATTTTTTTTACCTGTTAATTCAAAACGTGGAAATTTATTTAGAAAAGTGTGTTTCAGCACTAAGATACCTTTTTTATGTTTAATAGAGTAAGAGTAGTACATATAGTTACGTGGCATTCAAGCATGACACTTTGACTTGCGTGTTTTATGTGAAAGGAATTTTTAGTGTAATGTAAAATAAAATATTTTGATTTATTTAAATTATACTCTTCAGTGAAAATTTTCAAATTTTGAAAACCAAACGGTCTTGAATAAAAAAATAAAATAAAAATAAATAAAATAAAATTGTTTTGCATACAAGTTTTTTATATTTATGCAAGAAAAATTTAATGTGGAAACCATGATGAAAAAAACATAGATATTTTACACAAGCATGTTTAATTAAAATGATCAAAATTAAGGTGTCTATATTTGATATTGATTAAACCAAATACGTAGTTATTAAATTTAAAAACAAAATTTTTATCAAAGAAAAATCCCGTTTGTATTAATTAAAATTTATATCTCCCTTTTCGAATGATATGGAGTAACTTAAAATAGTACCTGAGGCTGCTGAGGTTGCACTGGTGCGTACTGGCCGAACCGTGTTGGTGTCCTCCTGCTCGAGGAACTGGAAAGTGGCGTGGAAACCGGTGCCGTCGAGCCGGTCGTTTGAGCGAAAAGTGACGCGGAAGAAGTGTCTGTCCGATTCGACGTCGAACTCACGCAGCTGGCCGCAGTAGCGCGAGTACTTGCGGTCTTGGGCCATGTAGTTGGAGAACTCGACGAAGTCGCTGGCGGATGTTGCCTCGCATCTGCAACACGTCGACCAGATTGAACCGCAAATTTCCCCCTTAATTTCTCTCGGGCGGCTATGATAAGGGTGGGTATGTGACTTTGTGCCTATGTTTACATTGCCTTCCTCTGGAATGTTACACAGCTCCTTTCTGTTTGACCCTATTTTTGTGATTTTTTTTTATAGTTATTTTGAGAATATAAAATATGAAATACAGTATTTTGTAGGCCAAATTTTTATAAAGGTCAATCTTAACCAAATATATCTGACATTATTATTTCAATTTTTTTTTACAGCAATCTGAATATGTCAAGAAACATGTTGCATTAAAAATAAAACTTTTTTTTTAGAAATTACTAAAATATGGTGAAAATTTACAGACAAAATAATTTAGCACTAAATCTTAATATATTATAGTTTATAATAAATTTTTCAAAACATGATATGTGTATTGTAATACAATAGCTTGCTATGTAATCAATATTATTTTAATTTTCTATTGAAAGGCCAGATTTTGAAAATACATACGAGTCTACAGTATGTAAAAAGTGATCTTGATTGAGAAATTTAATGAATTAAAAATTTGGATTGTATGATTAACCACTTGCCATTTTTGTGTTTTCCCATTAGGGCAAAGCACATATTATTAAATGAATCAAAAATTAGTTTTTTAGTTTTATTTCCATGTTATAGGTATTCATTTTTTAAATAAATTTTAACGATTGAAAATATCTAGTCAAGTAACTTTCACGTTAAGTTGTACTGCATATACTATCCTTTTTCCATATTATTTTTTTACCTTGTAGTTTTATTTGCAACTTATCAAAGACATGCAAATGAAGAATGTTAATTTTGAATGCAATTAGTGGCTTCAGGTCGTAATTCAATCATCATCTCCTCTTAAGAAATAGACGACTTTTCCTGCTCATCTCTTTTAAATGCGAGACCATATTGGTGTAAAAAAGCACCTCTCCGCAAAGAGCAGTAGTTCGTATAAAACAGGCGCTGTCTCGTTAACTTTCGGAATACATTTACAATCATCAAAAGACACCTGAGAGAGCAGCAGGCTTGTTAATGGCATTTCCATAAAGTTTTGAGAATTTTCCGCTGCTCTCTTTCCTAATCACGAGAGCGCGAAAGAGAGAATAAAGTGCTTACAGCGACATCAAAAGAGAGGAAAAAGAAAAGTTGCGAAATTACATTAGAGAGAGGGAGGAGGAAGATGAAAAGGTCCTCTTCTAAAATAATCACTCGTGCATGTGTTGCCGTCGTCATCAAGTGCAAATAAAATGGGTCAACCCGCAAAACAGCCGCAAAATTCTCCACTTTAAACGCACTTTTTCACGGCCACTTGAGCAAAAAGCCACTCGGCTGTGCTCGCCCCAAAAAGTCACTTTTGTATATTTACCCTCTCTTTTCAACTGTTGTAGGAAAAATTTAAAATAAAGTTTTTGGAGGAAAAATGATGAAATTTTAGACTCACGGCAAAACGCCCTCGACGTCAAAGTAAGTAAAATGCAGGTGTATCCTTTCGCCAGGTCGTCCTTTGAAGAGGTAGTGGCACTCGGTGTCCCTAGGGTAGTAGCCAGGGTAGTTGGGCGACGAGAAACTGCCGTTGGCGCCTTCCGTGCTGTTGAAGGAGAACGCACATGGGTACTCCATCAACTGCCGACCCCCTGTCACGCCAAAATCTACGGCAAACACGCAAAACCAAAGGGTGTGCAATTAAAGCAAGGGATGAAACACGATGGACCAGAAAATAAAGGGATAGAAATTGAGTCACTTTTATAGTTTACAATATTATATAGGCTTGCGAAAGTTTTTTAAAATCTTAAATCGTGTTTACAAGTTTTTTTTAGATGAAATTTTTTAAGATTTTTAATTAAATCTGAAAATATAAGCATTAAGTAAAGTAAAAACTTTTCTTGATCTAGTATCTTATCTTTAGCCTAATTTGGGCATTATAGCCAGGGTAGAAGTCATTAAAATGGATTTACAAAAGTAATGAATAAAAAGTGCATTTAATTATGCTCATTGATAATTTTTGATAATTATACTCATTATTATTGGTTTTGTTGAATTTAAATACATTGAAGCACAATGCGCAGTGTTTTTTGCAAGTTGATAAACTATTTATAGTAGTAATATTAATAATACAATATTAATAATAAAATCAAATAAATTTTCCGTCACAAAGCTTAAAAACAAACATAAAATATTATCTAAATGCATAATATTTAATTAATAAATTTAAATCGGTTAAATTTTTTATTTATAATAAAACTATTCACTGATCCTTTTAAAATGAATACTTAATACAATTTTAAATTAGTTTGCTATATAAAAAGATTTTGCTTATACAGTACTTATTATATAAAAATCTTTTATACGCCATTTAAAATTATTAAAACCGCGTTGTTAAATTTTGCTAGAGTTAGAACATCATTTATAAAAACTTTACCAGTTACGACTACCTTGAGAACTTTTGACGATTAGTGATTAATAAAATATGGGGAAATGATTGAAAAAAAAACTATCATTGTAAATTTTCAACAGTTCAAAATATTTAAGCTTCACTATATCCATCCCCTTTCTATTGTGACCCTTTGAGCAGCCCTTATGGAAACAAAGATGAGAGATAAGTACAAAGAGAAGTAACCAGCACAATAAACTTTTTACTGCACTGATTGCGGCGTCAGTAAGTAAACCGTTATAAGAACGAGCTCTTAAACCGAGGCCTTGTGCAAATCGGAGATGCTCCCGTCGACATGCAAATGCAGAGAAAGCAGTAAAACATTCTCTCGATCTTATACATACTCGTCTATCCGTGGGTACTTTGAACTCACAATCAGCCGGCGCGTACTTGATGCATGTTTTTATACGTGTAGCCCGCAGTGCCTCAACACGAATACATGAATGAAAATTGCAGTTAATTAATTGGACGTTCACACGCACACACTGTTCCAAATAATATAACGTCTGAATCGGGTCTGCTGGAGAATTTGTTTGAATTTATGTGAGGCGGAAAGCAAGAAGAGAGACTAGACTGGAAGTCCCACTATTCAAATAACGAATTGAAGTGGAAGATTATTGGAGAACTACGAAATCGTCAAATTTTATGACTTTGTGTGTCTCTCTTTCCACTGAAAAGATACGGTATATTTTTTGAGTAAAGAGAGAAGAAACGCAATTCTTTTGTGAGTGGCCCTACTCTCAGTTGGAAAAGGGTTCGGGGAAAATTTTTATCAACCTTCTCCTCTCTATACCGTCTGTGTGTTTGCAGAAATGGAGCAGAAAGGAGCAGACGGATTAATTATTCAGAGGCATTCGCGAATTTTTAAAGTACTCGGCAAATATGGGTCTGCTTTTAATTGTTAATCAGTTTGAAAAAGGAGCGAGCGCGCACATTACGGTGAAAAACTCACAAAGGAGTTCTTCTTTTGTTCAACATCAGCTCAGGCATATATGGATCTTGTTTTACCTGAAACTCGAGAGTTAACAAGTTGAACAACAGGCTTTGTTAAACGCCTGGTCTCATCAAATATTCATTTCAATAAGGCTTAGGCACTCGATGCCTCTTTCATTCCGTCCTTAAAAAGGGCGGAAAAACCCGGGCCGGCACTGCAGCGTAGCCCCGGCTTAAGCTGATTTCCGTTCACGGTTTTTCCGCCTCGCAATCAGCACGAGACACGGAAAACGCACGAAAAGCGAACAAATAATTGAAAAGAAGCAATAAAGTTTAAGGTAATCTTCTTGCTGGAGAGAGTTGCAGTAGTCGCGGCGAGTCTCGAGAGACGAGGCCGAATCCTGATTAAATAACACGATACTAGGCAAGAGTTCAAAGAAGAGGGCATTTTCAGAAAAGCTACCCGTCCTTTCGAAATGTATTTTGCGTTTGTTTTGCCATCGGTGCGTAGACGCGGGCTTCAAAGGAGATCAACAAGAAGGACGTAATTTACATTGGAATTTAAAACAATTGCTGAATAGCAGTTCACAGATTTAAAGAAAAGTACGTTTTTGAAAAAAATCATAGTGATCAAAATTATATTTATATTGCACTAAATAAAGTTAATAAGTAGCCTAACTAGACAGTTATTATTACTGCAGCGTGAAGAGATTTTAGAGGAGGTTAAGAACTACCTGCTAAAATTATATGTCATCAAAGTTGATGAATCGACAAATCACAATGCAGAAATCAGCATCATGTATTAATTTTTTTACGTTTAAAAAAATATCATTAAATATAAGCTTTACATTCTAATAGAAAAACAAAACAAAAGAATCCAAATATTAATGTCAGTTATTAAGAAAAAACATTATAAAATTAAAAAAAAATCAAAATAAATATATTTAAAAAAAACATTGACTGCAGTTTTAAACAATATTAATACATATAATACTTTTTATAATTATTGCTTTAAATTTGCTTTAATGAAATAATTGGAAATAATACATATTGCTGTGTTTGCATAGTTCCAAATCCACATCCATCTTGTACATTTAATTCTTAAAGTAAATAAATAAAATACAAAATTGGCATTTCATTTAGTTACAACTTAAGTTCATTCGTGCACCACAAGGCAATTTGTGCCTGAATCGAGAACAATAAAAAAAATTATATATGAATGAAAATTAGACCACAATTTAAGAGTATGTATGGTGCGAAAATACTGTTTGGATTTTTTTTTTATTTAAAGCAATTTTAAAATATGAGGAACCAAAGAGTTGAAGGATATGTACTTACTTTCAGTGAAACTGTAGAGCGCCTTGAATCCTCTGACGTAGCGCGAGGACACGAGGCCGCGGAATTCGAGGGAGAGGCGCGGCCCGCTGGACATGAGGGGCAGCGGCACCTGACTGCCGCAAAAAGTGTCGATCTTCTCGGAGCGACCCTCCATGTGCACGTACGCGTTTATCGCGTCGGCCGACTCGCAGCTGAAGCAAAAGGCAGAGCGGAATTAATTAATTAGAATGGGGTAGTGCGCGGCGGTGGCGACGGCAGGCAGGCGGGCGGGCGAGCTACCCTTGCAGCGATGAGAAAAGGGATGAGGGAGATGAAGGGCGTGCAAAAGTTTTCACGGCAGCAGAGAGCGGTGACGTGAAAAATGAACAAAGTAAAAAATGGGCAGATATAAAAGTTTGCCTCTTCTCTGGCGCGACAAAGGCCGAGATGTTTTTTGCCATCCGATGCAGCCAAATGAGAACAAAAATGTGTCCTGCTTAGCTTCGGAAACAGAGGGTGTCAAAAACTGCTTATCGATCCAACCCTACCGGCCGGTTATTTTAGACACCGGCAGAATTTTCTGCATTTTCCACTAAAAAGAGAAAGAGAGCTACTTGTTGTTCTTTCTTGTTGAGCTCAAGTTTGTTTGTTTTCCCGCCAAATTTATGCGACTGCAGGAAATATTTACATTGATGAAAAGCGTTCCTTCTTTTTCCTTCCTATCTGAATCTGACAGAGCATAAATAAATAAGGAGATATCTCCTTTCTTTTCTTTCCTCTCTTAGACTGAAAATGCAAATTTTTCTTCTTCCTTTTTCCGAGTCGTTTAAATAGACCAGGGTTCGTTACAATGTTCAAGCAAGCCAGCAAAGTTTGCACAGGCGAATTTTAATTTAATATAATGGAGCTCTTTGATCAAGCCTTTATTGATGAAATTACTGGTAAACATAGCAGAAACTTTCCGCGCCAAGTTTGCATTACTACACATAGTTGCAGAGTGAATTTCCGCCGTGAATAGTGCTCAGCCAGATAGAGTGTACACGGTGTGTTCTTTGGGGAATTCAGTGTACATACGGCAGCAGCACACGTACTCATACATTACACAGAGAGAGCGGCGAGGCGGAGAGAGAAAAGAGAACTAGAAGATTTCCTCACTGCGCAAACTTGCTGCAAGTTCTGTTTCCCAAAAAAGGAAATACATGTTCGAAAAACTAGTTGAAAGCTCCTAAAAAAATATTTAAGAAACATTAAAAATGAAACTTTTGCAAAATGTTCTTATTGTTAGCAAAAGGAAAAAGGAAACTTTTTTTGTAATACAATATTTATAAGTGTACAAATACTTCTAATGGATATTGATTTAGAGATTTGACTCTGATGGTAAAAATTGTATGCTCAAAAAAGCATGTTACCATCCTTTGACCTCTAATCACTGTCACTGTGTTAAATTACATTAATAAACATTATATGGCACCAAATCTTGACCGAAAGTGAATTTATTACAAATTCTTTTGTGGACTTCCGTGTTTGCTTAGGCAAACTGAATACATTCATGCTGTGCAGGTTGCATGATTTTGTTTGATGAAAAATAAAGAAGAATTTTCAAACGAAACTTTCAACAGAATCATTATAATCACTACTTTCCCTTTTGTAAACTTTTATACCCGTTAAATGAGGTTTGCAAAGCTTTCGAAATGGGCAATTTTTTGGTCTTGCTCTGCACATTGGTAAGCTAAAATCCAATTTTCATTTTGACTAAGCCGGCACCAAATCCCCAGCTTCGACGCAGAACAAACTGCGTGAAGATGATGTTTAACAAGTCGATTTAATTCCGCTTTCGGAGAGAGGCTGCTGGGTCGGGAAGCCAAAACGCAACCACATCAGCAGGGCCATAATAGCTCCCTGTTGGTTTTTTGGCGGCGTGTCAAGCCGCTTTTTCATATTTCCCTCCGTTCCTCCTCACTTTATACATGCATGTGAGAGATCGAGTGAGTGAGCGCATGCACATAATGCCCCCTTTGAATTAAAAGTTTGGATAAAACGCGAGTTTAAAGCGGAAAATTGGACGCGAATGCGCCTGGGGGCCGCGAGAAAGAAAGGGCTGCGGCTGGTTGCTGACGCTGCGGCGTTTTCAAGAGACGTCGTGTCGCGCCGAGCATTTCATTTCTGTGTGGCATGTTTGCTTTTGTGCAGTGACAAAATGACGACACAGCGAATATTTTAATGAATATTCACAAAAGACAGCGGTGGTGGCGGCGGCAGCCAGGCTTAAAGTGAGATTTAAAGAGTGGTGCGCAGAGAGGCACCGAGAATAAAACGAACCAGCTTCTTCGGCACACTAGGAAAAGCAGCTTCTTGATTCTTTAGAGAACCAAGTTTGCGTCGAAAAAAAAATTGAAATTTCAGCAATTATTCTTCATATTTGCTAACACACAATATAATATAATAAAACTTTCCTAGCTTCAATCTGTGTTTTGAAGATAATTTGATTTATTAATTACTGTAAACCTAAATTTCATTAATGTTATTATAATATATGTGTGTAATTATTAAATCTACAGTTATCATACGAGCTTATATTTTGATTTCTGTCTCCCGTGTGATAATAGATTATTTTTGTATGAAAATTAATTATATATTCAATAAAAATGTTAATAATTAGAAAGGTTTGTTTTAATGTGAGATAAAAAATGAATTGTATTTAATATGAAAAAACTTTAATACGCTTTAATATAACAAATAAAAATTTGTTTGAAAAATTTTATCATATAAATAAAATTGAAATCACATATCAAGCTAAACATGGCAATACAGCAAACGCATCAGTTGTGAAATTAATTTGATTTCTTTAATCAATGGGTATATCATATGTTCAAATTCATGAAATATGTGCTCATTCTACAATGCTCCCAAAAAAATCTATCAAGCGTACTAAACACTTACAAAAAACAAGAAACTTAAAATTTATTTGAAGATCAATAGGAATAATGAAGTCGGCAATTTTTTTTAGTGTTTTCTTACTGTTCTTCATTAAAAGAAACAACTAACTTAATATCAATTTAATAATAATTTTAGCAAATTTATGGAGTTTGTTCCTTGTTGCAGAAAATTTGCAAAATTCATATTGATCCATTACAATTTTATCTCAAAAGAAGTTTATATTTTTTTCCTTTGCTCAAACATTTTTCGTAGCAAATACTCTCCGCGCGTGCTACATGAAATAAGTTTACGAAAATACAAGAGATGAATTCATAAATAAAAAAAATTATTTAATGAAGCCAAATTTCCTTGAGTATTTCTGAAGAATAATCAAAACAATTTAACCCTAAAAAAAAAATCACGAAAGGGAATATCCCAAACTGTCAATATTTGCTTACTTTTCTTTGCTTTAATTGTGTTGACAAGAAGTTTAATTTTTAATATTAAATAGAGCGTTAAAATTTATATCCTCGATTTTAAAAGAGAAATTTTGAGTTTTTCATAAAAATGATATTTCGGCCCCATTTGCTTGTTCTCCAGCATGAATTTTTCAGCACTATTCCGGCGACTGTGCTGTTCTTCTTACACATAGAGCGCAGTTCTTTCTTACACAGCCAGCAGCGAAGAAGGAAGAGCTCTCGTGTTTGCGCAGAAACAGGGAATAAATTCGCGATACAGAGAAGCAGCGCGAGAGTGATGTAGCTGCATTTATTATATATGAAACAAGGGTGGTGCTCGGCGCGGGGCTCGTTGGCTCGGTTGGTCGCCTAGCCAGCCCGCTAGCTGCAGTGACTTTTATTTACTTTTACAATCGACTTCCCTTCGGATGAGGCAGCAGCAGTCGGTCGCCTGGCAGCCTTTGCGCTGCAATTTGCATACACATCCGTACAATTGTGTGCGCAACAAAACACACATTCGTTTCCTACCGACCAGCTAATGATTGTCTACAGCATAGTAGGTGTGTTGCACCCATATTCCAACAGCATATACACACACAGACAAACAAATAAACACACGTTCAAACGAATCGACGTACGGCAAATAGTGGAGTCGTAACTCAAAAATTGCAGTGCAACATCAGGCGCCTCTGTTTTATGAACGTGCATGTGTACAATGATTGTTGTTACAGTCCCAACGCGACATATCGACAAAATTTCGATGTTGTGTGTCGAGCAAATAAATAATGCGAAATCAAAATACTCACAGTTTCGAGCAAATTTTAAAGAAAAAACGATAATGCCTGGCAGTGAATAAGTGAACAAGTGATATAACAAGCAAAAGTGGAAGCAAAAATAAAATGTATTTTTATATTTATAGTAAAAATTATGTTTTTTACGCACAAAAATGCTTTCTATATTATGTTATTTACATAAAAATCAATTTTTGAATTTTGATTTAATAACATACATAAATGGCACAATTTATTTGTTAAAATTAATTAATTAATTTAAATTATTAATTTTTAACATTTTGATGTATTATTTATAAAATTTTTTTATCTTCTCACGTAAAATAAAATTATTTTTAAAAGACTTCAAAAATTTATGAAAGCAATAAAAAAATTAGTTTTAAAAGTGAAAAATTTTGCAAGTAAGAAAATATATTTTTTTGAAATATTTGTTATAAAGCTTTTTTACCACTTCTAATGACACATTTCTATCTAAATTGTGTTGATATTTATTTTTTCTTGAGGAATGAAATATATCATGACTAAAACTGAGAGGGCCGTTTTTTTAGTTAGCGCATTTATGCTTGGCAAATTTGTAATCTACTTTAAATTACGATTTTCGCTATGGTGAATACAACAAAGAGTTAATTTAAAATTAAATTTGTATCTGCCTTTAGCTACATCAAAATTACCTCAAAACCTTATAAATAAAGGACGACCAAAATTGTTTCCGAACTAATTTTGCCCGCATGTTGTGTATGTTCAGGTTGCTAACAAACACGTTACGTACGACACGGCGTGTGTGTTTGGTGTGTGTCGGCGCGTGTGTGTAATGTGTGTTCATTTTCTCGCATGCAAATTTATCAGGCAGCGGCGGCGGCGCGGCGAGTGCCAACTTTGCACACTTTTGAATAATTGTTTCTCGTCGGCGAGGCGGTGAATGCAAATTTCCTTCGGCAAACTTTTGAGCCGAATTTCGCATACCGAGTTAAGTGAGTGTAACACGCGCCAGTAAACACATCTTAAAAAAAAAAACGCCAAGCTGGCGGGCGGGCGGAAAGCAGGGGG